CAGATGGTAGGGCACCAGATGGTAGGGCACCAGATTGGTAGGGCAACCAGATGGTAGGGCACCAGATGGTAGGGCACCAGATGGTAGGGCACCAGATGGTAGGGCACCAGATGGTAGGGCACCAGATGGTAGGGCACCAGATGGTAGGGCACCAGATGGTAGGGCACCAGATGGTAGGGCACCAGATGGTAGGGCACCAGATGGTAGGGCACCAGATGGTAGGCACCAGATGGTTAGGGCACCAGATGGTTTAGGGCACCAGATGGTTAGGGCACCAGATGGTAGGGCACCAGATGGTAGGGCACCAGATGGTAGGGCACCAGATGGTAGGGCACCAGATGGTAGGGCACCAGATGGTAGGGCACCAGATGGTAGGGCACCAGATGGTAGGGCACCAGATGGTAGGGCACCAGATGGTAGGGCACCAGATGGTAGGGCACCAGATGGTAGGGCACCAGATGGTAGGGCACCAGATGGTAGGGCACCAGATGGTAGGGCACCAGATGGTAGGGCACCAGATGGTAGGGCACCAGATGGTAGGGCACCAGATGGTAGGGCACCAGATGGTAGGGCACCAGATGGTAGGGCACCAGATGGTAGGGCACCAGATGGTAGGGCACCAGATGGTAGGGCACCAGATGGTAGGGCACCAGATGGTAGGGCACCAGATGGTAGGGCACCAGATGGTAGGGCACCAGATGGTAGGGCACCAGATGGTAGGGCACCAGATGGTAGGGCACCAGATGGTAGGGCACCAGATGGTAGGGCACCAGATGGTAGGGCACCAGATGGTAGGGCACCAGATGGTAGGGCACCAGATGGTAGGGCACCAGATGGTAGGGCACCAGATGGTAGGGCACCAGATGGTAGGGCACCAGATGGTAGGGCACCAGATGGTAGGGCACCAGATGGTAGGGCACCAGATGGTAGGGCACCAGATGGTAGGGCACCAGATGGTAGGGCACCAGATGGTAGGGCACCAGATGGTAGGGCACCAGATGGTAGGGCACCAGATGGTAGGGCACCAGATGGTAGGGCACCAGATGGTAGGGCACCAGATGGTAGGGCACCAGATGGTAGGGCACCAGATGGTAGGGCACCAGATGGTAGGGCACCAGATGGTAGGGCACCAGATGGTAGGGCACCAGATGGTAGGGCACCAGATGGTAGGGCACCAGATGGTAGGGCACCAGATGGTAGGGCACCAGATGGTAGGGCACCAGATGGTAGGGCACCAGATGGTAGGGCACCAGATGGTAGGGCACCAGATGGTAGGGGCACCAGATGGTAGGGCACCAGATGGTAGGGCACCAGATGGTAGGGGCACCAGATGGTAGGGCACCAGATGGTAGGGCACCAGATGGTAGGGCACCAGATGGTAGGGCACCAGATGGTAGGGCACCAGATGGTAGGGCACCAGATGGTAGGGCAACCAGATGGTAGGGCACCAGATGGTAGGGCACCAGATGGTAGGGCACCAGATGGTAGGGCACCAGATGGTAGGGCACCAGATGGTAGGGCACCAGATGGTAGGGCACCAGATGGTAGGGCACCAGATGGTAGGGCACCAGATGGTAGGGCACCAGATGGTAGGGCACCAGATGGTAGGGCACCAGATGGTAGGGCACCAGATGGTAGGGCACCAGATGGTAGGGCACCAGATGGTAGGGCACCAGATGGTAGGGCACCAGATGGTAGGGCACCAGATGGTAGGGCACCAGATGGTAGGGCACCAGATGGTAGGGCACCAGATGGTAGGGCACCAGATGGTAGGGGCACCAGATGGTAGGGCACCAGATGGTAGGGCACCAGATGGTAGGGCACCAGATGGTAGGGCACCAGATGGTAGGGCACCAGATGGTAGGGCACCAGATGGTAGGGCACCAGATGGTAGGGCACCAGATGGTAGGGCACCAGATGGTAGGGCACCAGATGGTAGGGCACCAGATGGTAGGGCACCAGATGGTAGGGCACCAGATGGTAGGGCACCAGATGGTAGGGCACCAGATGGTAGGGCACCAGATGGTAGGGCACCAGATGGTAGGGCACCAGATGGTAGGGCACCAGATGGTAGGGCACCAGATGGTAGGGCACCAGATGGTAGGGCACCAGATGGTAGGGCACCAGATGGTAGGGCACCAGATGGTAGGGCACCAGATGGTAGGGCACCAGATGGTAGGGCACCAGATGGTAGGGCACCAGATGGTAGGGCACCAGATGGTAGGGCACCAGATGGTAGGGCACCAGATGGTAGGGCACCAGATGGTAGGGCACCAGATGGTAGGGCACCAGATGGTAGGGCACCAGATGGTAGGGCACCAGATGGTAGGGCACCAGATGGTAGGGCACCAGATGGTAGGGCACCAGATGGTAGGGCACCAGATGGTAGGGCACCAGATGGTAGGGCACCAGATGGTAGGGCACCAGATGGTAGGGCACCAGATGGTAGGGCACCAGATGGTAGGGCACCAGATGGTAGGGCACCAGATGGTAGGGCACCAGATGGTAGGGCACCAGATGGTAGGGCACCAGATGGTAGGGCACCAGATGGTAGGGCACCAGATGGTAGGGCACCAGATGGTAGGGCACCAGATGGTAGGGCACCAGATGGTAGGGCACCAGATGGTAGGGCACCAGATGGTAGGGCACCAGATGGTAGGGCACCAGATGGTAGGGCACCAGATGGTAGGGCACCAGATGGTAGGGCACCAGATGGTAGGGCACCAGATGGTAGGGCACCAGATGGTAGGGCACCAGATGGTAGGGCACCAGATGGTAGGGCACCAGATGGTAGGGCACCAGATGGTAGGGCACCAGATGGTAGGGCACCAGATGGTAGGGCACCAGATGGTAGGGCACCAGATGGTAGGGCACCAGAAGATGGTAGGGCACCAGATGGTAGGGCACCAGATGGTAGGGCACCAGATGGTAGGGCACCAATGGTAGGGCACCAGATGGTAGGGCACCAGAATTGGTAGGGCACCAGATGGTAGGGCACCAGATGGTAGGGCACCAGATGGTAGGGCACCAGTGGTAGGGCACCAGATGGTAGGGGCACCAATGGTAGGGGCACCAGATGGTAGGGCACCAGATGGTAGGGGCACCAGATGGTAGGGCACCAGATGGTAGGGCACCAGATGGTAGGGGCACCAGATGGTAGGGCACCAGATGGTAGGGCACCAGATGTAGGGCACCGAATGGTAGGGGCACCAGATGGTAGGGGCACCAGATGGTAGGGGCACCAGATGGTAGGGCACCAGATGGTAGGGCACCAGATGGTAGGGCACCAGATGGTAGGGCAACCAGATGGTAGGGCACCAGATGGTAGGGCACCAGATGGTAGGGCACCAGATGGTAGGGCACCAGATGGTAGGGCACCAGATGGTAGGGCACCAGATGGTAGGGCACCAGATGGTAGGGCACCAGATGGTAGGCACCAGATGGTAGGGCACCAGATGGTAGGGCACCAGATGGTAGGGCACCAGATGGTAGGGCACCAGATGGTAGGGCACCAGATGGTAGGGCACCAGATGGTAGGGCACCAGATGGTAGGGCACCAGATGGTAGGGCACCAGATGGTAGGGGCACCAGATGGTAGGGCACCAGATGGTAGGGGCACCAGATTGGTAGGCACCAGATGGTAGGGCACCAGATGGTAGGGCACCAGATGGTAGGGCACCAGATGGTAGGGCACCAGATGGTAGGGCACCAGATGGTAGGGCACCAGATGGTAGGGCACCAGATGGTAGGGCACCAGATGGTAGGGCACCAGATGGTAGGGCACCAGATGGTAGGGCACCAGATGGTAGGGCACCAGATGGTAGGGCACCAGATGGTAGGGCACCAGATGGTAGGGCACCAGATGGGAGGGCACCAGATGGTAGGGCACCAGATGGTAGGGCACCAGATGGTAGGGCACCAGATGGTAGGGCACCAGATGGTAGGGCACCAGATGGTAGGGCACCAGATGGTAGGGCACCAGATGGTAGGGCACCAGATGGTAGGGCACCAGATGGTAGGGCACCAGATGGTAGGGCACCAGATGGTAGGGCACCAGATGGTAGGGCACCAGATGGTAGGGCACCAGATGGTAGGGCACCAGATGGTAGGGCACCAGATGGTAGGGCACCAGATGGTAGGGCACCAGATGGTAGGGCACCAGATGGTAGGGCACCAGATGGTAGGGCACCAGATGGTAGGGCACCAGATGGTAGGGCACCAGATGGTAGGGCACCAGATGGTAGGGCACCAGATGGTAGGGCACCAGATGGTAGGGCACCAGATGGTAGGGCACCAGATAGGCCAGATGGTAGGGCACCAGATGGTAGGGCACCAGATGGTAGGGCACCAGATGGTAGGGCACCAGATGGTAGGGCACCAGATGGTAGGGCACCAGATGGTAGGGCACCAGATGGTAGGGCACCAGATGGTAGGGCACCAGATGGTAGGGCACCAGATGGTAGGGCACCAGATGGTAGGGCACCAGATGGTAGGGCACCAGATGGTAGGGCACCAGATGGTAGGGCACCAGATGGTAGGGCACCAGATGGTAGGGCACCAGATGGTAGGGCACCAGATGGTAGGGCACCAGATGGTAGGGCACCAGATGGTAGGGCACCAGATGGTAGGGCACCAGATGGTAGGGCACCAGATGGTAGGGCACCAGATGGTAGGGCACCAGATGGTAGGGCACCAGATGGTAGGGCACCAGATGGTAGGGCACCAGATGGTAGGGCACCAGATGGTAGGGCACCAGATGGTAGGGCACCAGATGGTAGGGCACCAGATGGTAGGGCACCAGATGGTAGGGCACCAGATGGTAGGGCACCAGATGGTAGGGCACCAGATGGTAGGGCACCAGATGGTAGGGCACCAGATGGTAGGGCACCAGATGGTAGGGCACCAGATGGTAGGGCACCAGATGGTAGGGCACCAGATGGTAGGGCACCAGATGGTAGGGCACCGACTCATGCTGTGATTCCACTCAAGAACCAACTGACCTGGGCGAAGTCCAGCAGCTGGTTGGAGAGGCAGGAGCCCACGGAGCGCTGGCAGCGGTCGGGCTCAAAGCGGAAGGCGCTGAAGCTGGTGCCCACCTTGCTGCACTCACTGCCGTCCAGTGAGTAGCGTTCCTTGTCCACTAGCTGCCAGCCTGGAGCGGTGATTAGGATTTGGGAGCAAGGAGTCTGGTGAAGTGAGAGTTTCTTGAGCTACAGATGTGTCCTTGGAGTGCTGCAGCTGGTGCCCACCTTGCTGCACTCGCTGCCATCCAGCGAGTACCGTTCTTTGTCCACTAGCAGCCAGCCTAGGTGAGGGTTGGGATTTGGGAGCAAGCGTTTTGGTGTAAGTGAGAGTTTCTTGAGCTGCACGCATGTCTTGGAGTGCTCCAGCTGGTGTCCACCTTGTTGCACTCGCTGCCGTCGAGCGAGTAGCGTTCCTTGTCCACTAGCAGTCAGCCTGTTGAAGGTCTCAGACGATGGAAGAAAATACGACAGAATTCAGATTTTGCAGGAGTGCTGGAGAGAATGGCATCTTTAGATGTGTGAGAGACCTGAGATTCTTTCGACAGAGGCACATGACCCCACCCCACCTGAAGTGTCGGAGGTGAATCGGCCCACGGTGGGAGAACCAGGTTGAAGGGGCACAGAGAGCAGGTGGTCACTCAGGTTGGGCAGCTGCGTGTAGGTCAGGAAGTCCCATCCCCTACCCTTTCTCCACTATCCTCCCTCCCTCACCTGGTGTACCAAATCCCCCAACCCCACCTGCTGACGTATCAGAGGTGAATCGGCCAAAGGTGGGGGAGCCTGGCTGCAGGGGCACGGAGAGCAGGCGGTCACTCAGGTTGGGCAGCTGCGTGTAGGTCAGGAAGTCCCATCCCCTACCCTTTCTCCGTTTTCCTCACCGATCCCCCTGCTACCACCTGCGCCCTTCCACTCAACCCTATTTGCAACCCACCTGACGTGTCGGAGGTGAATCGGCCAAACGTGGGCGATCCTGGCTGAAGGGGCACGGAGAGTAGGCGGTCACTCAGGTTGGGCAGCTGCGTGTAGGTCAGGAAGTCCCATCCCCTACCCTTTCTCCACTATCCTCCCTCCCTCACCTGGTGTACCAAATCCCCCAACCCCACCTGCTGACGTATCAGAGGTGAATCGGCCAAAGGTGGGGGAGCCTGGCTGCAGGGGCACGGAGAGCAGGCGGTCACTCAGGTTGGGCAGCTGCGTGTAGGTTAGGAAGTCCCATCCCCTACCCTTTCTCCGTTTTCCTCACCGATCCCCCTGCTACCACCTGCGCCCTTCCACTCAACCCTATTTGCAACCCACCTGACGTGTCGGAGGTGAATCGGCCAAACGTGGGCGATCCTGGCTGAAGGGGCACGGAGAGCAGGCGGTCACTCAGGTTGGGCAGCTGCGTGTAGGTCAGGAAGTCCCCCACCAGAGTGGCTGAGAGCGATTGAGAGGGGTTCACTGCCACTGGTGCCGTGGGCGAGAGGATGAGCGTTTCCTGTGTGTGCAGAACAGGAAACATTGTGGGGAAGGGAAGCATGGGGGAGAAGGGGAAGGGAAGGAAGGCGCAGCTGCGATGTAGGTCAGTCAGAGACGCCGGATCAAGCCTCTGTCTCAAACATCACGCCCTTCACCACTGCACTGCACCTGGCCGTACCCACTCCACAATGACACACATTTGACTCCCACGCACCTGCTCCTGCGAGTCCGACCGCAGACTGTAGATGGTGATGTGTATCTGGACTGGAACACCGGAGATGCCAGAACAATCCAGGCCTCTATCTCTACCTCTCACGCACATCATGAGACGCCAGTCCAGGCCTATCTCTACCATCACACTTTCCAGACGAACTCCAGCCAGACTGGCATCACCTGCTCTCTCAGTGACAACGATACCTGCTCTCCCACGCACCTGCTCCTGCTAGTGCGACAGCAGCTTGCTGATGGTGACCTGGATCTGGAACACCAGGAGATGCCAGACCAGGTCTCTCTCTACACATCACCGTTCCTCCGCTCACGGCAACGCACCTGCTCGTGCGTGTCGGAGAGAAGCTTGCTGATGGTGATGTGGATCTGGAACACCAGAGACGCCAGTCCAGGTCTCCAGAGTCTACCTTAACCTCTGCGTATCACCATTCACCCCCTGAATGCAATGCACCTGCTCGCCCACAAACCTGCTCGTGCATGTCAGAGAGAAGCTTGCTGATGGGGATCTGAATCTGGAACATCAGAGACGCCAGTCCACACTTCTACGGTCTACCTCCACACATCACCATTCATTTCCTGAATTCAATGCACCTGCCCCCCCCACCCACCTGTTCGTGCGTGTCAGAGAGCAGCTTGCTGATGGTGATCTGAATCTGAAACACCAGAGACGCCACGCCTATGCGGTACGTGGGGTACCTGGTGGTGTGGGGGTGGAGGGGATGGGTTGAGAGGGGTGGAATCAGGACAAGTGAGTGGGGCAAAATTCATGCCTATGCGGTACGTGGGGTACTTGGTGGTGTGAGGGTGGAGGGGATGGGTTGAGAGGGGTGGAATCAGGACAAGTGAGTGGGGAAAAAGTCATGCCTATGCAGTACGTGGGGTACCTGGTGGTGTGAGGGTGGAGAGGATGGGTGAAGAGGGGTGGAATAGGGACAAGTGTGTGGGGTAAATTATGCCTATGCGGTACGTGGGGTACCTGGTGGTGAGGAGGTGGAGAGGATGGGTGGAGAGGGGTGGAATCAGGACAAGTGTGTGGGGTAAATTATGCCTATGCTGTACATGGGTGGGGTATCTGGTGGTGCGGGGGTGGTGAGGACGTGGAGGGGTGAAGAGGTGGGGAAGAGTGTGGCACAGGAGAAACTGTGGGTTACAACACGCCCATGTGTGGCATTTCTAGTTTAATCAATTATAAGAAAGAAAACAGGACACAACTGATCTTGGGACATGTTCTCAGCGAGCAGAAAAAAGGGACACAACTGACCAGGTGTCGTTGAATCGAAGGCAGTGAGAACTGGAGGGCACTCCTCCAAAGAACAGCTCTGGGATGGGGGGTGGAAGAGTCGAGATGTGAAACACAAGGAAAGAGACCCGAATTAGGAGAACGTACTCTTCTATGTGAAGGAGCTGTCGAAAGCGGACAGGTGGGCTGCCTGCGGAGGCCTTATTTCCATCAGGAGAACGTCTTGCCGTACTCTGCTATGTGAAGTGTATCCGTACATTTGCAGTAGGCCATGGCAAATGTTCCCCCTACTGCAAATGTACCCTCCCTGTCTCTCCCCTCCCCTTCCCCCCAAAACTCCCCATCCCATCCCCCATTCACTCTCCTTCTCTTCCTAATTTTTTTAACCCCCACAGGCATACCTTCCCTTCCGCAGCCACTCACTCTGCCGCCACAGGCTACAGTCCAAGTCAGCCCTGAACTGCTGTGGATTGTCCAGACCAATGGAGTCTTTCCACGTGTCACCACCACTGCAACTGCAGCAGAACCCCTGAACACAGGCAAGAAGAAAGTTCGGAGGAAGTTTAGCATAGGCAAAGCCTATGTGCACTTCTTAAAACAAAAAAAGGTTGGCTGTTGGAAACTTTGCATGCCACCATCCGAATGGAGGAACCAGCCACAATGTTGGCCCAGCCTGCTACCGACTGGGTTAAAAGGGCATGTTTGTATGGTGGGTAGCACACCCATTACCCCCCAGGCCGCACCTGTAGGCTGTAGCCCTCCCACACTCAACTGGGGAACGATCCCAGTGCCCCACCAACGCACAGATAGGGCCACTGTCAGAAGCACCAGTTTTGCATCCCGTTGTTCAACTAAGTGGGGACTCTTAAGAAGCTCACTCACCTGGCTGTTTGGCACCCTCGTCCCATCCGGGTAGAGAAACCAGCCGCATGTGGGATCGCTGTCATACGCACCGTCCCTGCACCCCGTTGTAGTCACCACCACCTCGTACGGCCGGCCATTGAATGACTGCCACGTGGCAGGCAGGCAGAGAGTGGGGGGAGCAAGCGGGAGAAAGGTTCAGGAAAAAAAAAGAGTAGAATCATCGGCAGCATTTGGGGGATCAAAGCTGCTCAATGTAAAGAAATCCAATTTGAAATCCACAGAGACCCTATAAAAACAGAAATGGTAAAAGATCGTAACTGCGATCTTCATAGGGTTGAGGGTGGCCTCCTTCATAACACCTCCACTTCCTTCAAGGAAGCCACAAATCCAACTATACCTGGCTTCCTTGAAGGAAGAGGAGGTGAGAGGTTACACGGCATAAACTGGCATCAGTTTAAGACTTGGTCTTGACCACTGTAATCTTCACAGGGACTTGGCCCGGCTAGCCGCCTCTCCACTCTATTTCCCCACGCGCCTTACTTACTCCTGCTGCTCTGCTGCTGCTGATGTTTCCTTGCTGCCTAATGTAGACCAAGTCTTACCTGCAGGAACGTGAGCGGATACACGGCATAGACTGGCGTCTTCACCACCGTGATCTTCACAGGCTCTGCCAACCGCCTCTCCAGACTCCACCAATACCTAATCCAACCGTACCTCCTGCTGCACTACTCCTGCTGTACTGCTGCTGTGCTCCTGCTGCTCATGTGCCGTTGCTGCCAGCGTTACATCAGTCTTACCTGCAGGAACGTGAGAGGGTACACAGCATAGACTGGCGTCTTCACCACCGTGATCTTCACAGGGTCTGCCAACCGCCTCTCCACTCCCTCCCCCCCCTTTCCTCCTCCTCCCCCTCCCCCTCCATCTCCCCCTCCTGTCACGGTGCCATTCCCTCCTCCTCCCTCCCCTCCCTTTCCTCCTCCTCCCTCCCCTCCCTTTCCTCCTCCTCCCCCTCCTCCATCTCCCCCTCCTGTCACAGTGCCATTCCCTCCTCTTCCATCCACTCCCTTGGTGGCGTTCTCTCCATTGCTGTTGTCTCCATTTCTTCCACCACCAGCAGCAGCCTTTGTGCTGTCACTCACTCGAGTCAGCACTGCCTCTATTGCCTCCGTGCCTAGCGTCTGGAGGGGAAAAGTGGAGAGGGGATACGAGGAGGGAGAAGGGAAGGGGGAAGAGGAGCAAGAGGGTAAATCTAAAGTCGACTTGGGCAGCGTCACCTCTTCATGTATGGCACTTATGCTTTTCTATAAAAAGGGGGGTGGGTTTTCTAAGTCAAATTCTGGATGAAGCAGGCCTGTGAACAACTCACATGCCCGTTGGAGACAGCAAGGGAGAGCACGATCTTCTTCCTGCATTTGACCGACTCGCCCCCTCTGGCATGCAAGGAGGGTAACCATGCAGTACCTGATCGGATAGCCTCCAGATGACTCACATGCCCGTTGGAGACAGCAAGGGAGAGCACAATCTTCTTCCTGCACTTGACCGACTTGGCCCCGTCCGGTATGTAACTCGGCTGCTGCTGCTCCCCTGCCCCCCAACCCCCCCCAGGCACTGTTCCTGCTGCACCGTACCCCACTCCTCCATCTCCTACTCCCGCAGATGCTAATGCGGATACATCTGCTGCTGATGATGATGCTGGCATACCAGCTACCCCCCCATCAGCCACACACATAGTGAGGTCGCTCTTAGTGATGATGCCTGCTGCACACAGCAGCACGCCCCTCGACAGCTTCCCACCAGGCACGATCTGGTCCGCCCATTTGTCAACATCCAGCAGCAGCAGCAGAGCCATGAAGAGCAAGATGTGCCAACATGCTCGATGCATTCTCAAACCCAGTGGATACTTTGCTGCTGCTTCTGCGTCTTTCTGCTTCTGCTCTTGCTACAGCTGTTGCTCTAACTTCTTTCTGCTTCTGCTGTTGCTACAGCTGCTAATTTGGGCCTGCTTATGCCCACGGTTTGCTGCTGCTTCTACGAATTTCCCTAGCAAATCTGTGTGGTTCGACCTACAACGAAGTTCAGCACCGAAGTGAACCCTCTCATAACTTATTCCACGCCGTCATACCCTACTATACAACATCTCTGTGGGGCACTAGCCGGCAATCAGCAATTGACACTAGCCGCGTGAAATCAGCTGCTCGAATCTTCATGAAAAGAAGAAGAAGAAAGCAAACATCTGATTCTCCCCGTTCCCTTTCCCTCCCAATTCCTCTCGCTGTCTCCTCTCTCACTCTGCTCCTCTCCCTTCCCTAACCCCTGACAATCCCTCTCCCTCTTCGCTTACTCTCCACGCCTCAATTCACAGTCTTGCCTTTAATCCCGTCCCGTTGTCGCCTTGAACGACTCTCGCGCGAGTTACAAAACGATTTCGCAGGTTTCTCATTGAATTCCCCTCTCTCCTACGGCTGGCATGGCAGCGCACTTGTCGTTCGATTCGCACACAGTGTTCGCCCGCCGGACGCGTGACATGGTATTCAACTTCGCGTCACGCGGAACTACTACCACCGGTAGGAAAACGCTCGGTTCGGTACAAAAATCCGTGCTTGCGGAATCATTTCGCGAAGCAATGATTGCTCCGAGCACGGAGGGCGACGGGTTCTTCGCGGATCCGTCGACGAACCGCGTGACCGTTGGAAGCGAGGCCATTGCTAGTAGTAAGCTCGAGCCGCGAGCACGAGAAAACGAAAAAGAATAGAAGAAAAAAAGCCGTTTGAAAAAACAGTGAGTCCTTGGGAAAGGATCGAGCCGCTGGATGCTGTACACCCCGAAGATTTTGCGTAAATTGTTGTAAATCGAACAAGTGGTTAGCGAGCCTCGTTACGAACGTTTACGAGCGGTTGGTTAAGATGAACAGCTCGTTTTTTTTCGCGACGCTACCAATGGCTAACGGGTTCATTGCATGGAGCCGCGTAGAACCGTTTGGAGCTGGGAAATGATCCGAGGATGAAATTTCCTGAGATGGGTTCGGCACGATCATACACTGGAAGATGCTGCTAAGTACGGTTCTAACGTTAGTCTCGCAAATGCGTCATTCCTTGGCTGAGTGCCGCGAGTGTCGTCATGAGTTCACGTGAAGCCAGGGGAGCCTGAAGGATATGGACGGAATGGAAGCCATGGCGGCTGTAGGAAGAGATTTCAGCGGAAATGAACTGCATTGTGCCTGTGCTGTGAACTTGGTTCTTTCTGACTGAACCGAACCGAAGCGCTGGAGAACTGGGATGTGTCAGAGATATCAGCGTTATCGAGAGCCCGCGCTCGATAAAGATCGATTTGTTTCTTTGCGGTAGGGCTATGTTTTCATTTCCACTAATCTGATTTCCAGGGCTGTTTTATTTTCAACACTGATTTCCAGGGGCTTTGTAGAGTAATAATATGTTATTTAAATTGGTTTTTTTTTACATTCTGGTATTTCTGCTTTCAAAACATTTGCAAAGCTATAAAAAAATATAACTCTATTGATATCTATCTGAAACCAAATTAGGGGAGTGTGGAGGTACTGAAATGAGAGAAGCACCAACATGTCTGTTTCTGTTGTCTGTATCAAAACCGCAGCGCGAGCCCTCACGAGGAAGCTCGAGGTCAAGTGCAGAGGCAATGAAGTTGATTGTCATTGACGCGGACCGCGACTTCAACCGGCCAATCGCCGCTGCCGCTTAATTTCAGGTAACCCCTAGCCAAACAAAGTGTCGTGTAACTTCGCGACAGTTTCATTCCAGCGAATTCGCATGCTGCCATTGAGCCGCAAATTGCCGAGAACTTCGCCGCCAGTGAAATGCTGCGTTGCGTTGCGAAAGCACTGCACCGCTTCCCGCACCGCATGTCGGCCAGTGTTGACGCGCACCCAGCCCCCCCCAACCCTGTGGCATATAGGTGGCGTTTCGTGCCTCATATCCCTCGTCAAATCCATTCGTGGCTCCTCAACCACTCAACTTCAGTCTCTCTAACTCGACTAAAAACGTTCGCGAGCAGTCCAGCCGCGCGATCCAGTCTCACTTTCCACAGCTCCCCGATCTAACAAATTCTTAGCGACAGTCGTACGCATATTCGTGAAAAATGGCCAGTTCACGGTTCATTCCACTCTTCGGCCTGCTCTGCATCGTGCTATGCTTCACCACCGCTCACGCACAAGCACAAGCGAAGCCCACCAAGGCGCAAATAAAAGCCGAGCTGCAGAACATGGCAAACGCCATCACCAAGAAGTACCCGCAATACTCGAAATACGCCAAGGACATCAACAAGTACATCGGCTTGGCACGTAAGGACTCGAAATCTTTACAAAAAAGTTAGCCTTACCCTCGTTCAAAACGCGAGAAGAAGTCCGTCATTTGGAATCGTGAAAGAGTGGCAGGATACCGGCTATCGCGCTCCTCTATTCGTTTTGTAGCTGGAAGTGAACTGCACATCTCGCCACCCATCAGCTACTCTCTCTACTAGCCCGCGTATTGACAGTATTCGGATCCGCGCTCAGATTCTGTCTCCCCTCTCTCACTCTCTCTCTCCCTCTCCCTCTTTCCCCCTCCCTGTCCTTCTATTTCCAGTGAACTCAAAGTACGATTTCACTGCTCTCAGCGACGCGACCCTCCTACTCCCCAGCGACACGGAGGCCCAGGCCCTCGCTAAGAAGGTTCCCGCTAACAACGCCAACATCCCGAAAATCTACAACATCACCGCGTATCACATCATTCGCAAGAAGTACACCGTTCCCGCCCTCACGGCGCTCAAGAAATCGCAGCCGCTGGGCACGCAGCTGAAGCAGGCGATGTACAAGGTTTCGGTGCAGAATGGTAACACCGTTTCCTTCGCCAAGGCTCCCAACGCCCCCCCTGCCGCGTGGACGACGATCAAGATCGTGAGGCTGTACGCTGGGCCGTACTTCATCGCCCACGGCGTGGATAAAGTCCTGATTCCCCCTAACACCAAAGTGTAATTCTTCAGGATACCTGAAGGTGGCTCGGTCCTCAGTTGACAGTCAGTCGTGCTGCTGGTTCAACCTCTGAACTAGAGATGACTGGAGGTCAACTGAGCATCAGATGACTGGAGGTCAACTGAGCATCAAGGCATATTCTCATAGGGCCTTGTGAGGCCAGTTTATGACGATGTCACGATGTATAGCAATCAACCCTGTCTATTACCATACCTTCAGTATAGTACTTATTTCCAGTCTTTCAAGCTTTGTGAAAGGTCTCTGTGCTATTGAAGTTGCTGCGGAACCAGAGGTGGTCTATCAGGCCTGGAGCCATCAGTGTACCGCATACGGTATTAGAAGGCTTGAATTATTCCAATACCTAACCCATCAAGGCCTGCTCCCAGCGCTGCAGCACGATTTTGAACTTCCAGAGAGCCCTATGTACCAAGTACACCTACATCTGCATCTTCGAGCAAACAAACACAAAAAATGCTTATCGTGAAAATCGGATGGAGACAACAATGAAAAACATAAAACCGTCTGATAAGTGTGTAACAAAAGCCCCGTGGAGTGAGGGCCGAGCTGTTCCAACCTTGCTTTCTAACTTGACGTGCCCTACACGCCGACCAATGGCCAAGGGGCACATCTGGGAGTGTAGGTGTATATTCCAGTCTAACTGCTGGTTGACTGCTGGTTGAGTGTGGTTGAGTGTTGTTGAATGTGGTTGGATGTGGTTGAATGTGGTTGACGAGGCTTGATCAGTGAGCGGGGAGGGGAGTGGCACGGCTGGGAGGATAAGTCCGAGCAGGCAATCAAGGGATTCGGTAGTAACCCCCAGCAGTTCGCACATCTCCCGGGACCATGGCAGCACGTAGAGGTCACTCAGATTCTTAGCGTTTGATCAAGATCGAGTGCAGTTGGGTGCGGTGGAGCGAGGTTTGATCAGTGAGCTGGAAGAGGAACGGCTGGGAGGATGAGGCCGAGCAATCAATCAGGCGACTTAGTGGTGACTCCCAGCAGTTCGCACATCTCCCGGGACCACGGCAGCACGTTTAGCTTGCTCAGGTTCACAGCGGTTGAGAGCGATCGAGTGAGGTTTGATCAATGGGCGGGGAGCGGTACAGCTGGGAGTATGAGGCCGAGCAGGCAATCAGGCGACTCAGTGATGACCCCCAGCAGCTCACACATCTCCCCGGACCACGGCAGCACGTAGAGTTGACTCCGATTAACAACAGTAAAATGCGGTTGAGTGTGGTTGAATGAGGTTTGATCAGTGGGCGGGGAGCGGCACAGCTGGGAGTATGAGACCGAGCAGGCAGTCAGGGGAGTCGGTAGTGACCCCCAGCAGCTCACACATCTCCCGGGACCACGGCAGCACATAGAGCATACGTGGCCACACGCCATTGGCCGGAGGGATCTTCACCACCCCTGCACGCTCCTTCTGCCGCAAATAGTCCACCATGCGCGTGAACTGTGGGCATGTGAAGAGGGGGGGAAGGGGAGGACGGGAGAGGACGAGGAGACGAATGAGACGAAGCTTCTTCTGCCGCAGATAGTCCTGCCATGCACTTGAACTGTGGGTTGGGTTTTGAGACGTCTCAAAACGCAGATAGTCCTCTAGTTTTGAGACGTCTCAAAACTAGACGAAGCTTCTTCTGCCGCAGATAGTCCTGCCGTGCACTTGAACTGTGGGTTGGGTTCAAGCCAAGTCCTGCAGTGTCGGTTGCATTGGGTACAACGGGGTGAACATTAAGTCAACTTGAGAATCACATTAAGCCGACTCGAACCGGGTTCCTTTCCACTATCATTGCATGGGGTTTGTTTCTCTGTCCTAAACAGCAAGAGTTGATGGAAATAAGGCCTCCGCAGCCCACCTGTTCAACTTAGACAGCTCCTACAACGGGGTGAACATTAAGTCAACTTGAGAATCACATTAAGCCGACTCGAACCGGCCAGCAGTTTTTACGCTTTGAGCGAGAGCTGACTGCCATGGCACAACACATGCTTGCTTCAAAAGGCACTCATTCCAGAGGATCTGGCTGCAACTTGCAAGTCAACTGGCCAGCAAGCAGCATCGAGTGAGAAAGAGCTGACTGCAAGTTGCAAGTTGCAAGTGGCAAGCAAGCAACTTGCACACGGCATACCCGTTTCAACAGACACTCACCCCAGAGGATGGGCCAGCAGCGTCGGTTGGGCGAGCAGCAGAGGATGAGGAGGGCAGCGGGACGAGAAGGCACACCTCCCTCTGATGCACACACAGAGGGGCGGCCGGAGCGCGCGATAGAGAAAAAATAGAAGGAAAAAAGTATATACGAAACAAAGGATGAGAGGAGCAGGTCGGGGAACATGAAACGAACAACATGCACACGAAGATGGAAAAAGCACCGGGGGATGCATAACATGGGGCTGTGAACTGACGTGATGATGATGATGATGATGATGATGATGATGATGATGATGATGATGATGATGATGATGATGATGATGATGATGATGATGATGATGATGATGATGATGATGATGATGATGATGATGATGATGATGATGATGATGATGATGATGATGATGATGATGATGATGATGATGATGATGATGATGATGATGATGATGATGATGATGATGATGATGTTGCGATGAAACGTGCTTTGAGAATTCATGGTTAATAAGGGCCTTCCTAACAGGAAAATATTGATGAGGAATATCCACGCAGGAAAAGAGGCTTACCCGAGAGCTGGGGCAGGCATTGAAAGTGTTTCGCACTGCCCGGAAATCTGCCCGCTTTGTCACATCCAACTTATCAGGCCACCTGGCAAAAAAACAGGGAATAGGGATCACCAAAGGCATGACCAATGCACACCAAATAGCGCACGACGGACGATTTCAGTCTCATCCCATCGGTGCAACTCAAGCTGTCCCCCAATAAGGGACGATTCATGAGGCACCTAAAAAAAATCCTCACCTGAGTGGCTCGTGCTGGCCTGCTGTGAGCAAGGGGTTGTAGTGACTGCCTCAGATCTGCTGCCTGGCAGCGGCCTGCACTTGTGTGTGTTGAGTCGACTCAAAACACACCTGCCCTGCACTCTCAACTCCAACTCACCCGAGTGGCTCGTACATCACGTGGCAGTACATCACCCCGCTCTTGCACAGCGCAACACAGCACCACACCGCACCGCGCAGCACAGCATAACACCCAGCTAGGAACTCACCCGAGTGGCTCGTGCTGGCCTGCAGCAAGGGCCGGGTCGTAGCGACTGCCTCTGATCTGCTGCCTGGAAGCAGCCACGTGGCAGTACATCACCCCGCTCTTGCACAGCGCAAAGCGCGGCAGCAGCGACAGCTGCAGCTGCTGCTGCTGCTGCCTCTGCGCCTGCAACTCCTGCAGAACCATCTGCTGCTGCTGCTGCAGCTCATCCGCCTTCTCCCCTTCTCCTCGCCTTTCCTCGCCCACGCCAGCTGTCGATGTGTCTTTCTTTGTCGCATTTCTGTCCGCTTCCCGCCCTTCCTCCCTCGCAGCCTTCCTTTCCATTTGCGAAGAGGCACCACCAACACCAGCAGCACCAACCGCAGCACCAAAGTCAGCAGCAGCAACACGAGCACGGGCAACACCGCCAGAAACACCATCAGCAGCAGCAGCAGCATCACCAACAGCAGCTGACGTTGGTAAAGCCAAGGACGAGGGAGGAGGATGCGGTGGAAGGGGAGGGGGGCCAGGAGGAGCAACAGGAGGTTCTTGAGGGGGTGGGGGCGGGGGCAGGAGTGGAGGAGGAAGCGAAGGAGGAGTGGGAGCGGGGAGTGCAAGGGGTACAGTAGAGTTTTGAGACGTCTCAAAACTAGTTTTGAGTTTTGAGTTTTGAGCGGGGAGTGAAAGGGGTAGAGTAGAGAAGCGAGGAGGGGAGGGTTGCAAGACAGGAGGCTGGGCAGCAGCAGTGTGAGGCACAGACACAAGCGCAGGCACAGGCGCAGACACAGGCACCGGCACAGGCATAGGCACAGACATGTGCTTAATAGTGGCACCATCATCATCATCAAAATCCATGTCTGTTTCCTCCTGTGCTGCTCCCATGCCCTCATGTGCCCCCATACCCTCCATACCCATATCCATACCCACAGCAGGAGCAGCAGCACCACCCACTGCATCACCCGCTGCAACTGCTCCCCCTTCTCCTGCCCTTCCATCCAATCCTCTTCCTCCTCTCTCCTCTCCCTCCCTTGGAGCCCCCAACAAGCCAGCCCTGTCTGTTGAGTCTGTGAGGGGGAGAGACGATGCGGGGGGTGGGAGGGGCGGGAGAGGAGTGACAGGGGCGGCAGTGGGTGGGAGAGGAACAATGGCGGATGGAGGGGGAGAAAGCGGCGGAGGGGGAAGAGGAGGAGGAGGAAGAGACGCAAAAGCTGTACCAATCGGTGATGCTGCTGCTGCTGCTGCTGCTGCCCCTGCTCCTGCTCCTGTCATCCCACTTGCAAAGTCATCTCCCACCCGTGCACTATCCCACTTCCGAGATATCTCAAAGCTTGCCCCTCCTCCATCTGCTGCCCCTACACCTGACGTTACACCTGCTGTTACATCTGCCGTTACACCTGTAGTTACACCTACTGTAACATCTGGCATTCCACCTGTAGTTACACCTGCCCCCCTGCCTCTAGTAGAACCCACGTGGTGCGAGGGGTGGGGTGGGAGAGAGGTGGAGGAAGAGGGTGTGTGCGGATGGGAAGAGGGGATGTGTGGATGGGAGGCGGAAGCGTGTGAATGGGAGGAGGGGATATGAGGATGGGGATGAGAGGGTTCGCGAATGTCCCATCTGCTGCTGCTGCCACTTGCAGTGAGTCTCGGTGCACTTTCCTCTGTTACACTGTTACCACCACCAGCACCAGCACCAACAACACCACCAGAACCAGCACCAGCAGCACTACCACCGCCACTGGCACCAGAAACAGCGCCAGCAGTTGAAGCAGCAGTGGCACCTGAAACAGCAGCAGCGGCGGCCGCAGCTGCAGCTGCTGCAGCGGCAGCGATGTTCCCAGCAGCGATCTGCTGCTGCTCTGCCTGCTGCAATGACATATCAGCGTTGCTGGTGGGAGGAGAGGGACAGGCAAACAGGAAGGAGCAGGAAGGAAGTAGGGGGGGCCAAGGTTGGGAAGGGTGAGGAAGGGGCTGGAAGAGGAAGGCGGAGTGCAATGGGGAATATTCGTGTGTGATGAGGCGATTTTTCAGTCGACTCAAAAATCGCCTCATCACACACAGACGGCGTGCCATGGGGAATATCACAACGGGGAATATCACAATGGGGAATATCACAATGGGGAATATCACAATGGGGAATATCACAATGGGGAATATCACAATGGGGAATATCACAATGGGGAATATCACAATGGGGAATATCACAATGGGGAATATCACAATGGGGAATATCATGATGTTCCTCAGAGCCGTAGCAGCCGGTCAAACTCAATGAACCAGCACGGTCCCCTCATGGACCAAACCAAACCGTTCTTTTCTTTTGTAACCCCGAAATTTCAGCCATTATTTCTCTAAAAGGACTACTTTTTTAGCCTTTTTATATTTCTGTACTCCGATCAAACTGATGTATCGAGCTTGTACACTGTACGCGTATTCTGCATCTTTCAGCTCACCTGAACTGAAAAAGTATGCAGAATAAGTGTACAAACTCGATCGGAGTACAGAAATATAAAAATGCAAAAAAAAGAAATTCCTTTAGAGAAAGAAATGCTGAAATCTCGGGGTTACAAAGAAAAAAAAAACGTTTTTTTTTTTTTTTTTTTTTTTTTTTTTTTGAAAGTTCAGCTCTCCTGCTCGCCCCCCTGCTCGCCCCCCTGTTCGCTCCCTGCTCGCCCCGCCTCTACTCCTCCTCCGTTTAATAACCACTTTCTTGTTTTCCTTAATCAGCGCTTTGATGTCTGCCTCCGTCCCCTCAGACAGAATCACCACGACCTCCTTCCAGCTCTTAGTAGTGGGTTTTCCACGCATCTTGCTTATTGTTTCGGTTTGCTCACCTGAACTGCACTTGGACTGCAGAGTCAAATCGCTCCGAAGCCACAATGCTCCTCAACGCAGTAGCAAGGCCTCGACGCGGTCAAACTCAATGAAGTGGGATACAGACCCCTCATGGACTGCACACAGCGCAACTCAATACGACAAGCCTTCAGCTCACCTGAACTGCACTTGGAGGACTGCGGAGTCAAATCGCTCCAAAGCCACAATATTCCTCAGCGCCGTAGCAGCCGCCTCCACTCAGTCAAACTCGATGAACCGGCACGGGCCCGGGGCCCATCATGGACTAAGTTTCTTATTGAGTAAATCCCTTTGGCTAAAAAACACAACCCTTCCCCTCACCTGAACTGCACTTGGACTGCTAATTCGAACCGTTCAGACGCCACGATGTTCCTCAAGGCAGTAGCAGCCACCTCCACTCGGTCGAACTCAATGAAGCGGCACACAGACAGACCCCTCATGGACCATGCACTTCAACGAGCGAGTCAATTCGGCTAAAAAGCATGCCCGCTCGACTAAACAAACGCCTGCTCGTTTAGAAGACAGTCCTACTTGCCTCACCTGACCTGCACTTGCATGGCGGAGTCGAATTGCTCCGAAGCCACAATGTTCCTCAGCGCAGTAGCAGCCGCCTACACTCGGTCAAACTCGATGAACCTACACGGGCCCCTCATGGACCGCACACAGCGCAACTCAATACGACAAGCCTTCAGCTCACCTGAACTGCACTTGGACTGCCGAATCAAATCGCTCCGAAGCCACAATGTTCCTGAGGGCCGTAGCAGCCGCCTCCACTCGGTCAAACTCGATGAACCGGCACGGACCCCTCATCGACCGCGCACTCCGCACACGCGTCACATACCCCCTGCCTGCCGCAGCAGCCGTGAAAATCCCCTGTAACTCGGATTCAGACAGGCTGAACGCAGCCATGGCTGCTGCTGCACTGGCAGCCGAGTGGGTGGAGATTGCCTGCTCTGATATGCCCATCCAGAGAGTGCTAGTTGGTACCCGCTCCTTCCCTCCTATTCCGTACACCACTCCTGCTCCCGCTCCTACTCCTGCTCCTCCCGCTCCTCCTGATCCGGCCCCGGATCCTCCTATTCCTGCCGAGCCTGCTGCCAAACCTGCGCCCGCACCTGCTGCTGCTCCTGCCGCACCTACTGCACCTGCAGCCCCCCCATCATGGTCCCTCTCTCTCACCCCACCCTCACCCACCCCCACCAGCCCGCCTCCCGAACCTATCCCACCGGCACCCAGGCCCGGCACCGAGCCTGCGCCCAAGCCTCCGCCCAAGCCTGCGCCCATGCTTCGGAGGAACCTGAGGCTGGCAGCGGACTGGGCGGCAAGGGTGTGGGCGGCGGCAGACTGGGCGGCGAGAGTGTGGGCGGCAGCGGGGGTGAAGGGGAGGTGGGAGGGGAGGCCTGGGATGGGGAGGAAGGCAAGGGGCATGAGGCGAGCTGCGGGGGAGAGGGCGTGCAGGTGATGCAGGTGGGAGAGGGAGGCGTGTTGGGGGGAGGGTGCTGCTCGTGATGCTGCATGCTTGAACTCAACCTGATGCGGAAGGAGGGAAGGGGAGAGGCAGAGGTGAATGGAATGGGAAGAGGGAGGGGGAAAGAGCGGGGAAAAAAGGGGGGACAAGAGGCAGAAAGTGAGGGGGGAAGAGAGTGGGGAAGTTTGGAAAAAGGCACCTAAAAAATCGCCTCAAAAGGCACCTAAAAAATCGCCTCAAAAGGCACCTAAAAAATCGCCTCAAAAGGCACCTAAAAAATCGCCTCAAAAGGCACCTAAAAAATCGGCACACACATCAGGCCCTCTCCCACCCACCTACACACCCACCCACATTACCCCCCTCCTCCCCTTCCCTGTCCCCCCCTCCCCCCCACTCCCCCACACGCAGAGAGGCGCATACCTGAATGCTAGAGCAGCAGTATTGTGCCCCGTTGAGTCGAGACCGAGCCAAAATAGCTGACTCTGCCGACCTTTAAGTCGGTTTCACGAATTCATACACACTTGTGCCCACACACGCGCACACACATGCGCACACACAAACCCCTAGTGGTCCACACCTGGATGTTAGCGCAGCCGTATCGTGCCCCGTTGAGTCGAGACCGGGCCAAAATAGCCGACTCTGCCGACCGGAAATCAATAAACGCCGACACCAGAGCAGCAGCTCCAGACTGACCCCTCCCTCCCTCTGCCGCCCCTCCTGCTCCCGTGCTTCCTCCTTCACTCTCCCCACCAGTAAAACCACCACCGCCAGCGCCAGCACCAGCCCCAGCACCAGCACCAGCACCAGCACCAGCACCAGCACCAGCACCAGCACCAGCACCAGCACTACCACCAAGACCAGTACCAGCAGAACCAGACCCTCCAGCAACCCCTACCCCCCCAGATCCTGCGCCTGCTCCTCCCGCTCCTCCCTCTTGCTGACCTGGCGGCTTCACAAAGCGCCAGCTGGCGATCTCGCCGTACTGCGCAAACGCCGACAGGATCTCGTGCTCGGGAACCGTTGGATCGATCTTCCCCACCCACAGGTGCCGGGCGGCAGACGGGCCGCCCACCACCAGCGCTGACGTCATCCCTGACGCGGCTGCTGCTGCCGCCGCTACAGCCTGCGCGCCAGGGGTGTTGGCTGCTGCTGCCGCTACAGCCGCTGCTAGAGCCTGCTGGGTTGTTGTGTGGGTAGGGGTAAACCCGCCCACCCCTGCTGCTCCTGGTGCTGCCAGTGCTGCTGGCGTGCCTGCTGTTGCTGCTGCCGCTGCTGCTCGTGCAGCTGTTGCTGCTGATGGTGTGGTGCTGGCTGTTGCAGAGGGGATGGCAGATCCTGAGCCGCGGATAACAGGGGAAAGAGCTGCAGCCGCAGCAGCAGACGCCGCTGCTGCTGCCGCAGCAGCAGCGGAAGAATGAGCGTGAGGGCCGGAGAACCCTCCAAAGCCACCACCAGGGCCGGCAGCAGCCGCTGCTGCTGGTGATGGCGATGGTGATGGTGACCCTGCTGCTGCTGCTGCAGCAGACAGAGGAGGAGTCTTGGTTACAGAGTAACCCCTCTCTCTACTTCCCCCTCTTCTGAATCCTCCTGCCAATCCACTATCTCCACCACCATCAGCAGAGGCAGAACCAGCAGGAGTGGCACCACGGACATAACCACTGTCCCCTGCACCATCTCCCTCTCCTCCCCCTGCTGCCCCTCCTGCTGCTCCTCCTGCTGCTCCTCCTGCCGCTGCTGCTGGCACCGGCACCACCCCTCGTTTTAAGAACAACAGGGCCATGTTGGCATCCTCCTGCCTCCTGAATTCCAGGAGCAGTGCGCTGGCGCTGACTAGGACCGACACATGGGCGGGCGGCGGGACTCCGGCAGATGCCAGCCGCTGCAGCAGGCTTTCCTTCGCACTCGCACTGTTCACGCCACCCACCCACACATGCAGCCGAGAAGCAGGCGGCAGAGAATCAGAACCCCCACTAGCAGTCGCAGCAGGAGGCAGAGGAAGAGGAGGCGTACCTGCTCGACCCATCTCCACCCCTCTCTCTCCCCCCATGCCGCCCCCTACCCCTCCAAACCCCCCCAAATGCGCTCCCAAAAACCCTAACCCTAAGCCCCTGCCAGCAGCAGCAGCGGCGGCGGCAGCAGCAGCGGCGGCGGCAGCTAACCCCAAGGCCCTCCGGTTACTGGTAACCAGACCAAGAGGCGAGCCGGTGAGACTGGGAGAGAACCCAGTCTGCCTCATGCCACCCTCTCTATACCCTAGCTCCCGCAGGCTATCTCGATCGCGATCCCTCCCATCCATCCCTACCTCTCCTCCTCGCTCTCGTGCCAACATCAACCCTCCCCCACCAGGTATACCCCCACCAGGTAAACCTCCCCCAGATAACACCCCCCCCGGTCCATCCCCAAAGCGCACGTGCAGCCTTCTCCCCCACAGCACCACCCCATTCAGCCCCTCCCTCGCCCTCACAGCCTCACGTACAGTCACCATCGTTACCACCACATGCACTGGCGTGCCATGCTCCCTTCCCCCGCCCCCTCCTCCCCTTCCTCCCCCTCCTCTCCCTCCTCCCCCTCCCCCTCCTCCCAGCCCATCCCGCTCCTCACCTCCACCAACACCCCCTCCGAAACCACTCCCAGAAGCACCTACCCCAGTCCCACCTACCCCGCCGCCCGCCACCACGACCACCTCATCCACCGGCCCGAATTTCTCAAAGAGGGAGCGCAGAACCGTCCTGTGGCCTTCCCCAGATACGCCCTCCACCGGGACAGGTGCCCCTGCCTCGGAGCAGAAGGTGAGCTCCAGGAACCGCGTCACAGTAAACACCTCCCCGTCCCACGACCACCCAGATACACCTGAGCCAGCACCTGATGCAACACCTGAACCAGCAGCAGCAGCAGCAGCAGCTCCTGCTCCTCCTGCCGCCCCACCCCTCTCTAATTCCCTCTGCTGCGCCTCCTTCCCCACTCCTCCCCGCTCGTCCCTCTCGCCCTCGCCCCTGTCCCCACCACCAGTCTTAACACCACCACTACCAGCAGAACCAGCACCAGCAGAACCCACTGCCGTAGCAGCCGCCGCTGCCGCCGCCGCCGCAGCAGCAGCGGCAGCAGCAGAGGCGGCACTAGCATCTCTGAGAGCACCCAGCAGAGTCTGGAGCGGGTTCCAGGCATCCCCAAGCGAGTCTATCGCTGCCGAACCACTCCGCCGAACCTGCTGCAGCACCGCTGCTAGCCACCGAAGCGACTCCGGACGTCCATCCAAGGCTTGGAATGCCATGCTTGACTGCTCCTCCTGCGCTCTCTTCCTCTTGCTCCTGGCACTATCCTCCTTGCCCGTCTCCTCTTGCAGCCCAAACTCCTCTCTCCCCTCCTTATCTTCCCTACCCTCCCTGTCCACCCTCCCTTCACTGCCCCCCCTAGCCTCCCTCAAGTCTTCCTTCTCTTCCTTGGGAACCATCTTTGATGCACTTACCCCCTCCGCCTCTTCCACCTCCTTCTCCTCCTCTGCTTTTCCCATCTTCTCCTTCCTCAGTCCTATCCCTTCATCACCTTCATCACCATCACCACCACGAGCCTCCTTCTCACTCTCACCTGCTGCTGCTGCTGCCCTTCTCTCTCCTCCCTCTTCTCCTCCCTTTCTCTTGTCATCTTTCTCATCCCCTTCCTTCATCTCCACCCCTTCATCCCCCCCTTCTTCCTTCTCCTCCCTCTTCTCTTTCTCACTCACCTTTGCCCTCTTACCCTTCCTGCCCTCCTTACTCTCCCACTCCTCCTCCCCACCCACCACCTCCCGAGCAGCAGTCACCTGCAGCAGAAACGAAATCGCCTGCTTACCCCTCTGTCTCTCACCACCACCCCTCCCAACCCCTCCACATCCCCCCGTCCGTGCCTGCTCTATCGCCGCCCCTAACATCGCCTCTGGCTGTAGCTGCATCGCCCGAACCACCGCCGCTGCCACGATCTGCTTTACCGAAGCTAGCTCCGGACCTGAGGTCAGCTCCAGGCCTCCGTCGTCCGAACCTAGTTCTGGTGGTAACCCTACTGCGGTGCTGCTGCATCCGGTTCGATTCCGTTCCGCATCATACAAAGAACCAGCTTCAGGAGAAACCCCCCGTTTTCCATCAGCTGATGCTGCCACTGTTGCTGCTGCTACTCCATCTCCTGCTAAAAGACTTCCACTCAACTCGGTGACAGAGGAAGGAGCGTTGAAATCGCCACCAGCAGCAGCACCAGCATCAACACCACCAGATGCAGAATCACCAGCAGCCGAGTCAGGAGCATGAAAGGGAGGCAGGGGCAGAGTGCAATCAGGGTGGAGGTGCGACAGGAGGAATCGGGCCACATCCCGAGACACAGCAGAGGAGAGGTACGCCGGAGCAGAGGTGCGGGAGGAGGGGGCTGTAGCAGATGCTGCAGCCGCCGCTACAGCCAGGATGGACGCCAGGCCGAGAAATGCCGACCGCACCGTCGCCATGATGACCTTGGAGTCGTCGGGCGGCGGGACGAGATTGCGCCGGCATGCTGCTTTGTTGGTACCACCAGGTACAGGGCGCTCGGCCCTTGCTGCTGTCGCTGCTGCTGCTGCTGATTCTGTTGATGCCTCTGCAGGAGTGGCAGTCATGGAATCGCCAGGGCCTTGTTCCATACCCGACCCTTCTTCTTCCTTTGCTGCTCCTCCTCCTGCTTCCCCTCCACCAGCTTTCTCACGCGCCCCTGACCCCCCCTGCTGCCCCTGCACCCCCCTTTCCCCCTGCTCGGACTTTCCCTCCGCCCCTTCCCCTTGTGCGCCTCTCCCCTCCCCTGCTTCGCCCTGCGCGCCTCTCCCCCCCTCCGCTTCCCCCTCCCCCGCTTCCCCCGCTTCCCCCTGGCGCTGCAGCAGCTCCGCCACGCACCAATCCGCGAGCTGCATGAGCGTCTGTGCCGCGTCCGGCAATCCCGAGGGGCAGAAGCGCGCATAGCGGGGGATAAGGCCTGCTGCTACTCTGCGCACGCTGATGCAGCCTGGGGGGAAAGGGGAGGGAGGAAAGGGCGGGGAGAGAGAGCTGCATGAGCGTCTGGCAATCCCGAGGGGCAGAAGCGCGCATAGTCGGGGATGAGGCCTGCTGCTACCCTCCGCACGCTGATGCAGCCTGGGGGGAAAGGGGAGGGGAGGAGAGGGAGGGGAGGAGGAGAGAGAAGGGACGGAGGGGCGAACGAGCAGGTGATAATACATCCTTCCATCCTTCCTTCCTTCCTTCCTTCCTTCCTTCCTTCCTTCCTTCCTTCCTTCCTTCCTTCCTTCCTTCCTTCCTTCCTTCCTTCCTTCCTTCCTTCCTTCCTTCCTTCCATCCTTCCATCCTTCCTTCCTTCCTTCCTTCCTTCCTTCCTTCCTTCCTTCCTTCCTTCCTTCCTTCCTTCCTTCCTTCCTTCCTTCCTTCCTTCCTTCCTTCCTTCCTTCCTTCCTTCCTTCCTTCCTTCCTTCCGTACCCTAGCCATACTAGCGAAGCCGCGTTCTTACATCGTGAAGCATCTCAAAAGCCGCCGATCCCCCCCCCTGCGTGTCTTTCTCCCCTACCGGCTCGCTCCCTGTTACCGACGCCTCATCCCCCCCGTTCCCATAAGTTATCCCGCTACCCCTAGCATCATAAGACGTCTAAAAACTACATTATTTCTACCTATGCCGCATGTAAGCGCATCAAAAAGCCACCTTTTGACCTAACCGATATCTCATCCCGTACCTATACAGTACCCTAGCCCGTACCCTATTCCGCAACCTATCCCGTACCCTATACCGTGCACCCTATTCCGAACCCTATCCCGAGTCCTATTCCCGCACCTTGAGCCGCCCACGAACAGCATCGCGAAGAATGCTGCCTGGTTGCCCATGGGCTCCCCCTCAACGCCTCTCACCCTCTTCACATAAACTATCCCGTAACCAAACCCGTACCTTGTTCCGTACCCTATTCCGAGTCCTATTCCCGCACCTTGAGCCGCGTCCAGCATCGCGAAGAACGCCGCCTGTATGTCTTTATCCGCCACCGGCGGCTCTCCGCCGTCGCCTCTCCGCCGCTGCAGCGCCGCGCGCAGGCGCCCGTACGAGCGGAACACCGCCGCCAGCTGCGCGCGATTCCCCGCCTTGGCTGCGCGATCCGCGGAGCTAAATCCGCCGCAGTTTCCCCCGAATCCGCCATCGGAGCTGGATTTGATCGCAGGGCGGGTAGCGATTGCCTTCGCTGATGCCATATCGGTGACGTGTGTAACCAGCTCTTACAGAAAGTGAGTGCGGCGAGCACACAATGTGACACTACTAACGGGTATAAACAGCGTAAAAGTGTAGTTACGGGGAGGATAGTGAGGCTAATGTAGCGTTGTTATCCTCGTTACAGTATGATTCCTGTTATAAACAAAAACACATCATGCGACGGCTCAGACAGAGACACGAGGAATAAGGGTGAAGCAGTGTTTGGGAATGGTTGTCATGCGATGGAGTCCGAACGGCAGGACACGCAGATTTGTGAAGAGCCTAGACAACTCCAGCTGCTGAGAGGACAAACAAACCAAGGTGCAGTGGAGGGAAAGCGAAAGACTTATAAAAAGCAGCTTCGATTCCAAATCGATTATTTTACTTGCTTAAATTTGCTGTCATACAAAGTGCTATCCTTAGTACATCCAGTAGTACTAGTACAGGTTATAATAGCTACATATTATTATTCGTGTAGGTAATATTCTCAAACCACATTACCACATGACGCTTACATTCTCCACTCATCTCCCCGCCTCTCCACCGCCCAAATGCCTTTTCGACTCTAACTTCCCATGCTAGCCAAAGCCAAATCTGGCGATTCTAGACCTACAGGGCTGCGAGCACTGCTGGGAGTAGCACCTGCAACTACACCTGCACCTAGGGATGCAGCAGCAGGTACAATCCCGAGGTCTTCCGCTCCCCTGCTCCCATCACAAGCATAGACATTCGCCACGCTGGCAGCAGCCACGTCAGCAGCGCCTGCTGATTGCTCTTCTCGTCCTGCCTCAGCTTCAGTACCCAACCCTACATCCATCCACTCCTCCACCTGCCTACTACTCTCACTCCCTACCCTCTCTCCCGCAGAAGCAGCCCCCTCATCGCGACCAGCATTCCCCACAGCAACTTCGTCCCTCGAAATCTCCTGCCCCATGCAGTAACCCGAAGCTGTAACACTCGGAGCGGTAACATTCGAAGGGGTAACATCCGAAGCAGTAACATGTGTGTTTGTATCGACTGCTGGTATATCAGCAGCTGGCGACAACGCATGCGGCGTAGGAGCTATGTGGTGAGCAGGTGAGCTATACGGTGCTGCTGCTAACGTGTATGGGGTTGGAGACATGGTGTAGGAAGGCGACGGGAGAGTGAGGGACGGAGAGGGGAAGGACGAGGGCAAGGAGGGCGACGGGAAGGAGGACAGGTGTGGGAACGGGCTCAGCGGAGGTCCGTACAGCTCCGAACCTGCCCCGAACAGGCCCGGAGCGACCGAACCAAACGAGGCACTACCGAACCCACTGCTGCCGCCGCACCCACTGAAACTGTTGCAAAGGTTGCTCCCGCTGCTCACTCCTCCTCCTGCTGCTGGTGAGGTGGGTTTGTGTGCAGGGCTAGGGCTAGGGCTATGGCTTATGATCCACGAATCAGCAGCTGCAGAAGCACCTGAGTGCATGAGACCACCTGGAGAGCTCGGAGCATACACGTGCTGCTTCTGGGAAGGCGCAGATGCATATGTGAGTGCGGACGGGTCTGTAAGTGCAGCAGTGGATGGAAGAGCAGGAGAGCTCGCGGGGGAGCAGCCTGAAAGATTATGGGTATTATCAAAAGTGTACTGAACAGCTGCGCTTGATGATCCTCCTGCTGATGCTGCTGATGCTGCTGGAAGATCCATTTCATCTCTTGCACGCTTCCTGGAACCTTCCTCTAACGAGTGGAACTGCGCTGCTGACGTGTCGACGAGTGATGCTGACGTATTCCCATGGACACGCTTCTCCTTCACCCTGTGTGGGCGATCAGCTGGCGCTTTGAACAGACCCGACGGCCGACTCTCATCTCCAATTGAAGCACGAATCGTCTTCAAGTCACGCTTCATCTGCTGTGTGTCCGCCTCTCCTGCTCTCGACCTCCCCTGCAGCGGCATACCCCCCTGCTCCCCTCCTGCTGCTCGCTCCTCCCCCACAACCGTCTCGCCGCTCACCAGCCTTGTTTCCCCGTCTCCTGCCCGGTTTGCTGCCCCGTCCTCCCACTCTGCCCCCCCTGCCCCAGCACCAGCAGCAACGGGGCGAGCCAGTACGGATCCATTCATAGTGATGAGCACATGCCGCCTCTTCCTCCCTTGCATGTTCCTCCCTTGCATCGCTCCATACTGCCGCATCGCCTGCTCGTCTCCCTCTCCCTCCTCATCTCCCCCCTGCACTTCCTCCTCCTCGTCATCATCTTCTCCCTCCTCTTCCTCCCCACTCACACACACCTCTTCCTCCTCCTCATCATCATCATCATCATCATCTCCCTCCTCCTCCTCATCCCCCACTCCCCCCACTTCTCTAATCTCCACTGACCCCTGCATTTCATATCCCCCACCCCCATAATCACATAAGCCGTCCTCCTCCCCTCTCTCATCATCCCCCCCCTCCTCTTCTTCCTCCTCATCCTCCTCTTCTTCCTCCTCCTCATCCTCCTCTTCCTCCTCTTCCTCCTCTTCCACCACCACTTCCACCGCAGCACCACTCCCAACTGCACCCAAACCCTGGACTCTCACTCCGTACTCCACAAACCCCCCTCTCATCTCTTCCTCTTCATCCCCCTCCTCTTCTTCTTCCTCTTCGTCCTCCTCCTCCTCATCCTCCTCATCATCCCCCTCACCTTCCCCCACCTCCCCTCCTCCTCCCTCCTGTATCTGCTGACCCAGAATCAACCCCTTTCCATGCACTCTCCCATCCACCCCCTCCTCTTCCTCATCCTCTCCCTCCTCCTCCTCCTCTTGTACCACCAATTCCGTCTCATCATCATCAGAATCTGCCTCCATGCCCGGAATCCTATTCTGCAGGGCTCGTCTCCTCAGCACAAACACGTTGAAATAGAAGCTCACCAGCTCCTTCACACTCCGCACGCGCCTCCTCCGCCGCCCCTCCGCGCACATCCCCATCCCCCCTAGTATCCCCCCACCTCCCCCCGCGCCCTCCCCCCCAGCCTCCCCCTCCGGCCCTCCAGCAGACGCAAACGCCCGTTTTAGGGGTCCCCAGAAGTCTAGACCCTTACTCTGCGGGTAAAGTTCGACGATAGTCAGGAAAAGCTCTATTTCCTCGGGGCTCCACCCCTCCGCGACCTTCTCCCCCATCTCCGCCAGCCCCAGCGCGTGATACGCGGCGGGCCCCAGCTCCGCCTCTAGATCCTCGTCCGCCTCGTGGCAGTGCGCACGCACGCAGTCCGCGGACCCCGCCTTGTCCGCCCCGCACTCCGCGCAAGCGCCCGGCGGAACGCGCAGGAGGTCGCGGCGGGGGGGGTGGGGGATCACGCGGAAAGGCTGGCGCTGGGAGGGGAAGGGGGGTTCTTGAGGGGAGAGGGGGTGGTGAAGGTGGTGGTGGTGGTGGTGGTCTGGTATTGTGCTCGAGTGCTCCTGCTGCTGCTGCTGCTGCTGCTGCTGCTGCTGCTGCTGCTCTTGCTGTTGCCACGTGGCGGGTACTGTTTCGTCGAGACGGCCGAGTTTCGCGGACGGGGGCTGTAATGGGGCGGCGGCAGGCTGAGCGACAATTTCAGCCTCCTGGGTCGCCATTGATGATGCGACGGTTCCGGCGATTTCGCTGCAGTTCTGTGCGACAACCCCTGCGACTTCTTGAGGGCCGTGCGACGAGGCTCCAGCTCCTGGCGACGTCGAGTCACGAGACGTAGCTGCGACACTGTCTGTCGCGGCGTTAGAAGCCGCGCCGCAATCGCCCGGAGCGGAAGCGGAACCGCCATCGATATTACCGTGAGGATCATTCACGCTAACATCAGCAATAGTAGCTGATAACACCAACGGAGCAGCAACGATATCACCTCCCTCTCCTCCCTCCAACACTAACTCGCCATCGATAATACCAGCATCTTCGTTAGTATCACCTCCTTTATTGTCACCATCATGATCCGCCGCGCCAAGCATACCCCGAGGCACGTGCCAGTTGACCTTGCCCCCCGCCGAAGCAGCCAACGTCCCTCCGAGCCTCAGGTACGGGTTCCCCTTGCCTGCGCCTCTCCCGACCCTCCTGGACCGGGCTAGGTCCGGCCAGACCTGCGTGCCAAGCCACTTCGCTTCCCATGCCAGCTCAGCATCACACGTGCCTTCTTCGCAGCAAACGCCGACCTCGGCGCATGCGCCATCTTCCGGAGCGATTTTCCATAAGCTTTCGTCAGCCGGCATCAGACGGTGGGGAGAAGAAAGCGGTTCCGGAATATCCGCCTGATAATCCGGGCCGATCGGCGGAGTCTTCCGCGTGGCGGGAACCGCGAACTGCGCGTGGCGCAAGGGGGAAGGCCACGGGGAAGGGGAGTTCCACGGAGAAGGGGAAAGCCAGCGGGAGGGGGAGCGCCACGGGGAGGCGGAAGCGGCCCATGGTGACGGAGACGACAGCCTGGCCGGTGAAAATGTCGACGGAAAAGGTGACGGAAAAGTCGACGGAGACGACGATACCGGCGGCCATCTGCTTTGGCTCGCGGCAGCAGCGCCGTCTGGCACGGCAAAATAAGTTGCAGCTGCAGGAACGTCTTGAGAGGCGGAGTTTACCCTCGCAAAACGGCGTTCTGGAACATCTGATTCGGCTCGCGAAGGTATTGCTCCCGCGTTCGTATTTTCTCGAGCTGGTACAGAACCGGAATCTCCGGTGTTCGTTGGCACTGCATCATTTATGTCAGCGACACGCGTTAAGTCTGTCGCCCCGCCGGCTCCACTCGGCAAGCTTCTTTCTTCCTGAGGTATGGCTTGATAGTACTTGGTTCCAGCATCATGATCGGAAGCTTGCGAAGCATCCATGCTGTTGCCGTTGTAAGATTATTTACTTCGCGCAGCGCGTGTTGGGCTACAAATTTTAAATTTTCTTGATGATTTCGAGTCGCCTTCGGTTTCAACTGACAACTTATGTCTAGAATAATAGCATCACAACTGCTACGTGGCAGCACGCGATTGAGGCAACCTAGGGTTTCAAGAAATGCACTTCAGATCCAACAAACAGTAACTAGAAGGACATTGGATTTAAAACCGGGGTGCACATTCAGCTGAATGTGCATCAAAGGTTATCCCTTGACTGAGTGGGTTACGAGGTGTGCTTTCAGCCCCTTCAAGTCGAAATTCGTTTCCCCCCTCCCCCGCAATTTCGTTTCCCCACGCCCCCGCAATTTCATTTCCCCCTCCCCGGCGAAATTCGTTTCCCCCCTCCCCCGCAATTTCGTTTCCCCCCTCCCCCGCAATTTCGTTTCCCCCCCCTCCCGCCAATCTGTTTCATCCCTCCCGCCATTCGGTTTCACCCACTCCCGCCATTTCACCCCCTCCCGCCACCTACGAAATGCCCGAAGCTCTAGCGGAATCATTTTTTTGTCGCCCCTCGTGAGCCAATCACTGTTTTTCTCCAAACCCCCTTCCCAACATCTCAAGCCGAACCGCGTTGAATGTGCACCCTGGTTTTAAATCGCAATCTGAAATCTGAAGACATTTAGCGAATTCCCAATGTGCCTTCGCCGAAGTGTGGCGAAGCCATTTATCAAAGTTGGGAGGTTGCTTTTTGTCACAGTTCGCCACCTTGGGTTACCCAGAAGGTTGCCTCGCTCCATGAGATTGAGGCTCGCACCACCGAGAATGACGTTAGCAGGAATCAATAGAACACTATGTTGTACACTAGATCCTGCTTATACTGTTTTCTGAATCTTCTCATGACCACCTCAACTTCATCCTCCCAACTTGTGAGGTCTTCCAACTGCAAGAAAATGAGGGGGGCACACAGTAGCACTGGCCACGTTAGAAGAGAAAGCAATTGTAGGATCCTGAATCTCCTGAAGTGACCTTGGTTAAATGCGCATCTGCTGAATGCTTCTGCTTCTTAAGCATGTGCACTAAGACCTTGTAAAAGGGCATTACATGTACACAATCTGCTGGGAGATATACCCGTCGTTCTGAAACATGGATCCATGTTTCCACAACGTACTGACAGATGTGCTCCCTGATTGGCCTCACCATCCTACAAAGTCGTAGAGCCGCTTCTGCTCCAGATGCTGCTTCTTCGTGCGTATCTCTAACTTCAAGGTTGATGACCAATGCTGCTTGATGTAGTGTACGCTCCCGAGCAAACATGTCTGCAAGACACAGTACAACCAGATGAGCACAGGAAGGAATGAAACAATTCTCAATCATTAGATCTGATGTATTGAAAGTCAACATTACAACACCACTAACTCATACCCGGTGAAAATCTTGACATTTCCCCCCTGGAAAAGGATTTTCATGCACATGCTATAGTAAATTACTTTACTTTCTCCAAACACAGTATTCACCAGCTGTTAGTACTTCTGCTCATACTACTCAAGACCCTGCAAACGGATGAGGGCTACTGAAAATGCAAAGTGGAATATTGACACTGCTGATAAGTGAGTGGACGTGTCTTTGACTGACCGTGTGTCAGCACATCTGTGCATGCATATATGGGTGTGTCTACATGAGTGTAATCGTGACGTGTGTGAGTGCTTTGATGGGTGCGTGTGTGCGCGTGATGGCTGCATGAGTGAGGGAGGAAAGATGCTCAGGTAATTGCTAGAGTCCATGAGTGATAAAGCAAAAATGACAGGGTACGCAGAAGAGCCACAGAACGAGAAGGTGGTGAGAGGGCGAAGGAGAAAAGGAGCGAGCAAGCTGCATGCTTTTGGGAATGAAGGTTGAACGGATGTGAGTCCAAGACAAAACTGGAAAAGAACTGTAACCACTTGCGTAACTTGCGACCTTAACCCCTGAAATGTCAAAACTACATGCGACATAACCGCGTAGGGGTTAGGAACACTCGTTACCTTCAATGACCATGTCAAAAACTCGCTCCTCAAATGTAGTGACGACATCGAAGGGACCGTCAGCGGCATTGTCCTGCCACTTTTGAGGGGCTTCCTTGACCGCAAGATTCCGTTTCAGCATTCTTAGGATGCCATTCCTTTTATACCTGAGAAAACCATATATTACACGCACTCGGCAAAGGAACGAATAAGTAAATCGATAACAAATGTGTGAACGCTAGACCTGCAGAAGCTTGCAGAAGTTTTAGGTACCATGTATTTCGAACTGAGTGAAGTGTCTCACTTACAGCTCAGGGTCTTTGCCTTGAAGCTCGTCAAACATGTATTTGTACGGCGTGCCGAATTTATAGACATTGGGTTCTCGTATACTTGGTCCGGGGAGCTTGACGTTACTGCCGGTACCATAAGAGCTGACATCAAATCCTTCTCGTTGAAGAATCGCATGCGATTCCATGCTACGGTTCTGATTCGATGCGCAGACCATGGCGAAACGAAGAGGTAATTTATCATATGCGCATCTTGTGCAGAGGTAGATTCAGATCCGAGACTACGTGTGCAGAGCACTTACAAAACCCCAAGGAATGCCACAGAGAATGGCAGGACGGATTTAAAGACCATGGAGAAAAAGTTACGGGACATCAACTACCTAAATATGATAATAGTGATGTCATTCTCAGAAGCCTCTGCAGGAGAAGTGGCTCGGTTAAAAGCGGAGAATGCTGTGATGCCTGAAATTATCCAGGCATGCACCAGTAGAACCTAAGAGGCTATCTGTAGAACCCGCTAGTATTCGTGTGTGGAACCTATCAGTAAAATATTATGCAGCCTGTGGTGGTGGCTTTTTGTACCGTGGGTGATCGAACCTCAACGAAATGTCAGTTTTTGTTATATTTAGGGGGTAAATATTAGTTTTTAGGAGCAACCTTGAAAAGTTTCGTCGTCCTTGTGAAGCAAAAGTTCGGGCAGCTGAATGAAGCATCCTTTTGGCAAGTGCTCAGGCGGTTGTGCTCCTGGTTGTCAAACGGGTATTTTTGTGACATATTCCCAACTAGACGTTCCGAGTATTTTGCTTTACAAAGGTCAAATCATCAAACCACCCTTATTCATTATTGAGGGAAAATGCCCTCCATGGAACGCCTTCCCCTTCATCGTGTTACAAATTAGAGCTTCACTGCTCTTGATACAAATTCAAGCTGAGAGAAAAAGGAAACATGCCATTTATGGGGCAGCCTATACGCGTGAAGCTGGTAGGTTTCTGCGTAAATAGACGAAGCTGTAGGTTTTAATACTGGAGTCGAAGTCTGCTTTTAACACGCCGTTCGTTTTCCTTGAGATTACGACAAACTCTCCCTTTCTGTCGTGTTCCTCATAGGGGATGCATGCAAACCAGCGGTTTCGCATAAGCGTCTCGTCGTTCCCTCGAGATTCCCCTCTTTCGTCTCCTCGTGTTCGTAACGAATTTGTTTCGCCATGCCTGTCTTCACCGCGTTTAGCCTCCTTCTACCGAGTAGACAAAAAAATCTCCTCATATTGTCACCTCGTTACAATGTCCCTCGCCCATCTCGTTCACCCCTTCGCATCCCTCCCTCTCTCCACCTCCCGCACATTGTTGCAGCACGACAAGCACGCATGAAAATTGTACACCCACACTGCTTCTTCCCCCACCTACCCCACCTACCCCACCTACCCACAAACACACACACGTCCAAGGCTTCGAGGCGTTCCAGGACCTTCCATGTCTCATTCCAAGCAGCCCAGGAGCCAAGGGAAAAGGAAAGACGGCAAGAATAGGCCCAGAGGAGGAGCCAGAGGAGGAGCGGAGAGCTCCATGGGAGACCCTTTCGCTCTCTCGGAAGAGCGTCTGGCATCGCTTGATCTAGAGGGTGGCTTGAATCAACGGTGAGGATGAAGTTCACACATGTATGGTGTCCAAGGTTTGTTTTTTCTTACTTCTTCTTTACTACAGACGTGTCTGCTTTCTCCCTCCCTCCCTTCCTCCTCTCTGTGCGTCTGTGTGTGTGTGTGTGTGTGTGTGTGTGTGCGTGCGTGCGTGCGTGCGTGCGTGCGTGCGTGCGTGCGTGCGTGCGTGCGTGCGTGCGTGCGTGCGTGCGTGCGTGTGTGTGTGTGTGTGTGTATTATCTCCTTGTGCACATAAGCCCTGCACGCATAGTTTTAAGACGTCTCAAAACTAGTGTCGGAACGAGACATCTCAAAACTAGTGTCGGAACGAGACATCTCAAAACTAGTGTCGGAACGAGACATCTCAAAACTAGTGTCGGAACGAGACATCTCAAAACTAGTGTCGGAACGAGACATCTCAAAACTAGTGTCGGAACGAGACATCTCAAAACTAGTGTCGGAACGAGACGTCTCAAAACTAGTGTCGGAACGAGACATCTCAAAACTAGTGTCGCACCTCTACTCCCTTGTTCAACAAGCCATTGCCAACCTCCCCTGGTAAAAGTTATATATCAGAGCTAGTTTCTAGGCGCCTCAAGTTATATATGAGAGCTAGTTTCTAGGCGCCTCAAGTTATATATGAGAGCTAGTTTCTAGGCGCCTCAAGTTATATATGAGAGCTAGTTTCTAGGCACCTCAAGTTATATATGAGAGCTAGTTTCTAGGCGCCTCAAGTTATATATGAGAGCTAGTTTCTAGGCGCCTCAAGTTATATATGAGAGCTAGTTTCTAGGCGCCTCAAGTTATATATGAGAGCTAGTTTCTAGGCGCCTCAAGTTATATATGAGAGCTAGTTTCTAGGCGCCTCAAGTTATATATGAGAGCTAGTTTCTAGGCGCCTCAAGTTATATATGAGAGCTAGTTTCTAGGCGCCTCAAGTTATATATGAGAGCTAGTTTCTAGGCGCCTCAAGTTATATATGAGAGCTAGTTTCTAGGCGCCTCAAGTTATATATGAGAGCTAGTTTCTAGGCGCCTCAAGTTATATATGAGAGCTAGTTTTTTAGGACTGTGAGGAAACAAATTGCACCTTCACTCCATTCCCCAACAACTCACTGCCAACAACTCCTGCTACACTGATGTATAATCATTGGAACAACTCCGTTCTCATGCATGCTCCATGTATATGCCCCATGTATATGCCCCATGTATATGCCCCATGCATATGCCCCATGCATATGCCCCATGCCAGCGTGGACGGCGCTCTGCACAGGTCAGCAGCGCGCCAGCTCATCCAGGCATGCCAGGCGGCGCTGCCACGTCAGCGCAAGCAAGCGGTAACAAGCGAGTACAAGCGCCTCTGTGTCATGCTCGCCCGGGCGGGGAAGAAATCTGAGAGTGCAGTCGAAGAGGAGGAGGAGGAAGAGAATGACGAGGAGGAGAATGATGAGGAGGAGAATCAAGAAACATATGGTTCCAGTGGAAGCACCAAACAGGGTTTCCAGCCCTTGAACTTTGAAAGATGCTCCAGCATGGTCCCTCTGCTCCCCACCTCTCAAACATGCTCCATCAGTTCTACTCCTCCGTCTCTCCCTCCTCTCCCCTCTGACATCCTCCATCTCCTCTTCTCTCACCTTGACCCTCTCTCACTTGTCCGAGCCTCTGCTGTATGCTTCCACTGGAGGGAGATTGCAGCTGCTGCCGAACCTGACTGGGTGACGCACCTCGCTGCTTGCCTCGGTTCCGTGCCTGCTGCCGAGGCCCGGGAGAGCAGGGGTGGGAAGGGCCGATGTGGAGGGGAGGTGCAGGAGAGAAAGACCCCGTTGTGGCAAGATATTGTTTCTTGGTGTGCACAGGGTGAGTTTCCATTGTTTCAAGTCGACATGAATTAACTTCCCCTTGCTTATTCTTTTTCTCTTTTTTTTTTTTATCCCAATTTTTGTTCTCTGTTCTCTTGAACCATTTATGTTGTATGGGGAATATGCTGCTAACTTGCAGTCAGGGTTTATTACTTCTTCGCATGTTACCATGGGTTGCTGCCACACCACACCATCCATCAGCAGCCCATCTCATGTCCTGTCTGTCTCCTGCTTGCTTGATTCTCTCTTCGCGGGAATTCGCTTCAATCGCAAAAAACTTGTTCTTTCCTCGCTTTTCTTCTTTTCACCTTCTTTATAACCCCCTTCCATCCAGGCTTGTTCTTTACAGTCCAACCGGGTACTGTGTATAGAATGCAGCATGGTGGCGTGGACACCCAATTCCGCCCCCACGCCTCCTCCTCACACCACTTATCCTCCCCCTCGCTCGGATGCACCATCACTATCCACAGCCACTCTCTCTTCTACTCAGTTTTCTCGGAACAAGACTAAGGGCAGGGGTGGTGGAACGGGAACTGGAGCTTCTTGGGTAGCCAGCGTGCCTCTGGTGGTTCTTCTGCCGCAGCTGGCAGGGCGTGTAAAGCAGGCTGTGAGGCCGTGGAGGGGCGTGATGCAGCAGACAGATGTGAGTTGCCAAGCAGGGGTGGCAGCAGCGGCAATGGCAGCGGCGGTGTCGGCGGTGGTGGAAGCAGTGCAGCAGCGAGGTTCTTTGGCCGAAAGTGTCGTGTGAAGTGCGCAACGAGACGAGGGTACCGGATGCAGCAGCATGCGTGGAAACTTGCTGGAACAGCAAAGGTGAGGGATGTAGCTTCCGTAACTGCTTTGCCGCACACGAGACTGCTTATTGTCCATAGCTCTTTGTTCTTTGTGCTATACCGGCACCTCGTAGTCACAGGTGTATATGATCCCTGTTGCTTCCTGCACACATTGTGATCACGCATGCCGCTCTCACGCGCACTCATCACTTCTCTCTGTCTCTCCTAGTGCAGGTTGTGGCATCCCTCTCTGACGAGTTTGAGGGGGAGGAGTCCAGTGACGAGGATGGTGATGGAGTAGGTAGAACTGGTTACCACTCCAACACATCTACTGTCTCACGATTTTGGTAGGACTTCATTTTAATGCAGCAATTTATCGGTGCATTGTTGTGCTGCTTTTTTAGGCGCCGCAAAATCGTGTTGGCATGACTTCAATTCAATGCAGCAAATTATCGGTGCATTGTTGTGCTACTACCATGGATGTTTATCACCTGCCGGTGCTCTTTGTTTCACCATACCTACCGTAAGCCCCCGGATATAAGCGCAGGCCTCGGATAAGCGCCGGCGCTTATAAAAGGATGACGGCGCTTATATCCAGTCCTCGATTATAAGCCCACCCCTGAAGGCTTACGGATTATAAGCGCCACCCTCTGTTTGTTTTTGCTATCATTGTACTGAAATCGTTGTAACGAAACTCACATTTTCCATTCCCACATTATTGAATTTCGATGCCCTTCACCTCGCTCGGCTCATTGCCTGCGCGTCCAGTCAGAATGAGCTGTCGGCAGCGTAAGTTGACTCATTCTGACTGTGTGTGTTGGCAGGGAATTTTTCCCTGCCAACTGGCGCGAGATTCTCAATCCCAGCCCTGTATAGTTTCGACTCGATTCAAATTGCAAGAACGTGATCTACAATTTGGTGTAAGAAATACGCATTTAATAAATGTCGTTATATAAGCGCCGGCGCTTATAAATATCCTCGATTATAAGCGCACCCCTTAAAAAACAGTGTTTTTTTATACCCCCAGGGGCGCTTCTATCCGGGGGCTGACGGTACCATGCCGTACCTTTGTGTATTGTACCATGAGGCCAATTTTTTGGGTGATTTCTTGTCATCACAATCAGAATTGTGCTTGGCACCAACCACAAGATGCAAATTGCAATGTAAACTCAGCCGCACCAACCGCATACGGTACTCCCATCCCATCCATCATCTTGTTTCCAATTGGACAAGTTTGGCGAGGCACTAGTAGTTACGAGCAATACATGCTTCTATGCTATACATGGTCGTCTCGTCTGGCTGTGAGATGAGACTGGCATATGCTGCAACAGGCAGCCACCATTGCATGATAAAGGGTCCCTACCAGGGCTGACGTTTCACTTTAGGGCTCCCTGATGCCGCTATTTTTTTTTCCCTCGATTATGAGTGCACATTGTTCAGGAGATTGTCACCCTGATGGCTCAGGGTTCAACAACTAGTCACTCTGATGAGTCAGGGTCGACAGCCTGAATTCAGGGTTGTATTTCAATTTTACTAGGGTGATTACTGCAATGTACAGCCTGTAACAAATTTCCTCCTACATCTACTCTATTCTAGTGCACAGGCCTATCGATGTGGAACACTTCCTCCACATCCTCATCGTCCGAAAGGAAGGGATTGTCCTCCTCCTCCTCCTCCCCCACAAGCTCCTGATCGTCGCCCAGGGCCTGTTCCACATCCTCCTCCTCCTCCCCCTCGTCCTCCTCCCCATCGTTCTGGTGGGCAGCTCCTGCTTCGACTTCACCCTCCTTTGCTTTCCCCCTCCTTTCGCGATCAGCCATAGCAAGCTTCACGCTCTTTGCGGGGCGCCTCCTCCTCATAGACCTCCAGACCTCCAGGGCGTCCGGCCACTCGATGTCGTAATTCAGGAGCGAAATCTGCATCAGCTCCCCCAGCCGCGCGTTGCAGAGAGCGCCGCGCACCCAAGACTTGATCACATTTTGCCTCGAGAATCCTCTCTCGCACTCCACAGTTGACAGGGGGAGCACCGCGATCGCCTGCCACAGGAGGACGAGGTTGGGCCACCTCCTGCCAGGCACATTGTCGGAGATGGGTGGGAAACAGAGAGACCACATGCACAAAATACATTAGACTCCCGCATGGCATACCATGCTATCACACTACGGGGACATACCTCTTCGAGTCCGCGCTCCCGAGAATGTTGGGCAGTCCCTGCGTGAAGCTTTCCAGCTCGTGGTGCGCCTCCATGATCGCACAGAATGTGGGAAGCTCCCTCTCTGCGGCCTTGAGGTCGAATCCCGACAGCTTGTGGCGGAAGAGTTTGCTGCATCCCAGAAGCCACTCACGGCACTTCTTCTCCCGTTGTGCCTTGATCTTCGGCCACTTTCCGGCCCGAAACAGCTTCGTCGGCCCCAGCTTCCCCAGGTCATCAAGCCGCTCGTTGAGATTGTCCACGCAATCGCGGGCGAAACTGCGGCACAGCTTCACGCACTCCTCGTATCCGCTCCCCACCTTGTGCCCCGGGAGCTTCCGCTCGTGCATGGTGTACAGATGGTTCACTGGGCGTCCCTCCCCGTCCACGCCTCTCACACGGACCTTCTTGCCTCCACCATGCCCGTGCAGCTTCAGAAAGCCGACCAGCCAGCACTTGCCCTCGCCACCGAACTGCTTGTCGGTATCCAAATACCGCTCTGTCAGATCCGCCGTGGTGGCCTCGATGGTCTTCGCAATCTCCGTCACATCAATCTGTAAGGGCACAGTCATACAGGACATGTCATTTTACATCCAACACTCGAGAAATTGGAGACACTAGCAGAGGCGTGTTCGTGGAAGATTAAACAAACTCACATCTCGCTTCTGGAAACAGCGGTTGAGGTCGTTCATGTCGGCGAGGATGTCGGCGAGGAAGAACAGGCAAAACTGGAACTTGTAGCACATGACGATCTCGTACACCTTGTGACTCCGCTCCCACAGAAGAACGATACACGCACCGAGCACCTTGCACAGCCGTCGTACCGCATCTCCACGTGAGAGCCAGCGAACCGTGTGGATCCCCTGGACTTCGAGGTTAGTGTTGTAGATCACACGCTGCAGGTACTTGAACCGTTGGCTCCAGACTGAAGAATCTCCTAGTTTTGCCGCCACGGTGCGCACCACCTTGTCCACCATGCCGAGGTCGGGGTTGGACGTCGCCGCGTCCTTAACAGCCAGCGCCTCCCTGCAATAGACAACGTTAATAATTGTTAGAGTAGAAATCAGGCAAGCAACATGAACTGGATCAATAACTGGCACTAAATCTTACCGGTGCGCGATGCAGTGACAGGAAAAGAGATGCGGGGCGTGCTCCCTGATCCGCGCCACCAATCCGTTGTCCTTCCCCGTCATGACCGAAGCCCCGTCCGTACTGATTCCGACAAGCTTTGACACGTCGACGGCTGCGGAGCGCAGATGATTCATGAGCACCTCGAACAGGGACGCAGCATCACACTTCTCCACAGTCAGGAGGGTGAAGAACTCGGTGACGACTCGGCGGTCCTTGATGAAGGTCAGGTAAACAATCATGTGTTTACCACGCGTTCGGTCAGTGCTCTCGTCGCATTGCAGGCCCAGGAACGGTGAGGAGTTGATGTGGTCCATCTGCGCATTCGTCAAGTACGTACTGAGGCCGTGAACCATCTGCTGGAAGCCGTACCTGCGCAGAGATGTAGGTCTTTCAGTTAGTCTTTATGGGGGAAAATAATTCATTACCACGAATTCTATACAGCAAGATTGTAACTAAAATGTCCTACCGTGTGAGATAAACACCGTAAGACTGTCTCGGGATGTCGGGCGTGTCCTGCTCCGCGAGATGCCGCATCAGCCTAGGGTACATGCTTATCGGCGCGTCGCACTTGCACAGAAACACAACCGACCGCAACAGTCGGACGGCGCGCCTGCCCTCGACGTCCGAGATGATGAAGTTCGAAATCACTTGCTGCCCCTCGCGGATGCCTCTCGCAATCTTCAGCTGCCGGTCAACAGCCGCTTTGTGCGCGTCCGTGTGCTCATGTACGCGAAACGCCTGCGTCTGCATGTCACGGCCTCCGTCATCACCCTGCCTCGCGTACCTCGTGTTCTCCTTCCCGTAGGCCATGCAGACACTGCACTTCACATAGGGAAACCCATCCTTGGTTTTTCCCAACACGAGCCAGGAGAACTGTCCCGACCACCTCGTATCATACATGATGCTGGCCTCCAGGAACATCTGCTCTCGCAGCTGCGTCTTGGTGAGGGCGGGCGAGCCAGTGTCCGCGCGGATCGGGAACACATCTTCCTCTGGCGGTGCAGATGCAGCAGGTGGTGGATCAGCCGGAGTGTTCGAAGCAGAAAGTCGGCGGCCTCCGACGAGCAGGGTATGCTGCGCCCACTTCCCTGAACGCGCTCTCTTCGGTGTGGAGGTAGCCGACGGAGGACCAACGGACACACCAACGGTGCTTGGTGTGGGACTTGGCGCGGTCGGTTGGGGATCTTTGCTGCAAGAAGCAACAGCCGGGGGTATAGTGAAGGCGGCCTCCCGGGGAGACTCTTCAGGTGTGGCCGTGGGCGTGTCTTTAACTGCAGAATCATCTACGGTAGACCTAGGTGGATCCGGTGTTACTGGAGCAGCGGAACCTCTAAGAAAATCAATCCCCGAGCGTGGCTCCGTGGCTTTCGGCGGTAACGGTGGCTCATCTGAGCCAGCCTGAGGCGTGTCCTCGTCAGCCTGCTGGCCTTCCATGGCGGGGAGAAGCTAGAGATGGGGAGAGAGAGAAACGGAGAAATGAATTGAAAAAAGGGAACATAACAGCAGCACCAACAAGACCCTGGCTGTGGGAGGGGGGAAGCAAGAGATGGAGGGAGAAGGTGGGGTCAGCAATAATCCACCGCGTCGCCACGAAATTGATGGCGCGGTGGTCGAAACAACGAGCCGTCATTGTATTCGGCCTTTCATGCAGGCCGAATACATTGAACGACTGCTTCACTGCCAGCGACGACAGCCACTAAGTGTCTCCCTCCAATGAGGGACACGTATTGTGATTTGCGCGGTGCGCGTGGCAGTATATATGATGCTTCTAGGTGCGCTGTCAAATTTGACAGCTGTGCTGTACATCGATGCTGTACAAAGGACAGTTGTGTTCTGTGTCGGTTCTTGTCACTAGTGCGCGTGAAACGAAGCCCCCACATGGTTAGGTGCGAAATCATAATTACCCACATGGGGGGGTATCGGAACGAAGCTTCTACGAAGCTTCGTTCAGATAACATCACTTTCAGGGTCCACAGGTCCACAGATTGACAGGGTCCATGAAAACACCACACTGAGAGTGTATTGAGAATTTCAGGCTCCGCTAAATCAATACTCTGAATGGATCAGGGACCAAAATGTGAAAAACCTGATTTCACAGGGATCACAAGGTGAGAAGCCTGAAATCACCCTGAAATCAGGGTAATTACCCTGATAAAATCAGCCCTGGTCCCTACCCTCTGTTTAAACTCATCACGCAAGGTTTCTCTCCCACCCACCGCAAAGCCTTGACAAGAAATATCTGTGGGAACAACAGCTATCACTCCGGCCTTCTGCCAAGGAGCACTCATGATTTTGGAGCCGTTTCCTGGAAGCAAAGCATATATTACACAAGCTGGAATGATCCATATACCATGGTAGTGCGCAGTAACTCCCACCTGTAACACAGAAAACAACAGGACCATCAAGAAAAGGCAGATAATAAGCACAATATAAACAAAAGAGACATGACTACGTATACTTATGATGTACCCTACAAACTTATGATAGCCCTTGTACCAGAGAAGGTGGCTCTGTGGAGAGTAAGGGGTGGAATTGATACGTCAACGTTCACCATGAAGCTAAGTTGTGGAGCTGGTCTTTTGCCGCCCGCCATGACGCTTGGGAGGCTGCTGGAGACTGTTGCTCCTCCAATGTTTTCAAGTACGCCTAGGTTCTCATGGAGGATCCGAAGCGTACTCAGAAGACATTGTAGAAGCAACGGTCTTCAGCAGCCTCCCAAGCTTCATGGTGGGCAGCAAAGGACCAGCTCTACGACTTAGCTTCATGGTGAGGGTTGACATATCAACTCCATCCCTTACTCTCCACAGAGCCAACCCTATAGTGTGACATTCAATCAACAGACTTTTGCGGAAAGGAAATTTTATATATATAAAAAAAAAACCGTCACCAGGAGGCGAAAGTAAAGAATCGATGGAGAAAGGTAAAAGGGTGACAGAGAATGGGGAGAGGGGACGAGATGGTGGTTGGGGGAGGGTGTTGGAGGGAGAGAGGATTGGGTTGGAAAGACTTAAATGGGGAGAGGGGGCAAGGGCGGGTTTAACCTCAAATGAGCAGAGGGGAAGGGCACAACTAGGAAGCATACAGTGAAAGGCGGCGTCGGGGAGAACGAGCAAAGGGAGTTTGACCTCAAAGGACGGTTTGGAAAAAATCGAAAACAGTTTGTTGTAACACTGTTGTAGCAGTGTCTGCAGAGAGGGAGGGAGCTCACCTGCTGGCAATGAGTAACGCCCTGAGCCAATGCACCACCTCGTGAGTCCTGAGCATAAGCCACCTCATGCCCATGAAGCGAATTCCATATGCACCACGAACGCACAGCACCAGCAACGCTCCTGGTTTTGAGCCGCCTCGAAAGTCGTCTCTGCTCTCGGAGGAGGACACCCATTTGCTACCTCGGAGAAACCCAGGCTGAAGATTTGCCCAACAACTAAGTCCCAACAGTTAACTCCCGGCGGCCCATTGCGCCTTGAGATGCCGTTGAACTCTAGCGCGAGCCAACTCGAGTATTCATAGAGCCCCAGTCAGCCTGTCAAGAACCTTCCTCACTGTCCCCCTCTCCTACTCTTCCTCTCCTCTCTCCACCCTCCTCTCCCTCTCTGGCCCACATCACCCCTGCCCTGCCAAACAGCCAGACAAGTAGTCCTAACGACCAACTAGGCTTTCTAACCAATCAGCTGTGCATGTTCGTCAGTAAGCAATCAGCCTATAAGTCAGTGTATCTGTCTTTCAGTCAGTCAGACAGTCTGTTAGTCAGTCGACCAGTCACACTCAGTCAGTCAATCTACCATGGGTCAATGAAGGTCAACGCGATTCTTCTCCTCCCAACTCTTCCTCTCTTCACGGCATCTTACCACTGCCCTTAGTTTGAATTCTCCCATTCTTACTCACCTCCCCCATCCTGCCCTCCAATCCTGTGAATACAGTCAACGCGAGTCTTTCTCCTTACCCTGCCTTGTGGCCGTAACCCTTTTTATTCTCTTCTGCGTCATGCCCTCCAAACGTCCACCTCCCCTTGATCTAGTCAACCAGATCAACGCGATTCTTCCTCCTCCATTGCTTTCTCACTGCCACAACCTCACCCGCACAAGTGGATTCAACCACTGAAGCCCATTTCCACTCAACTACCCTGCCTGCCCGTCCTGCCCCTCCATCAGGTCAATGAGGTCAACGCGACTCTTCCTCCTCCATTTCTTATGCAACTCGTCCTCCAATTTTCCTCGCCGTCAACCCCTCACACATGCTCATTTCAGCTCTTGCCCCCCTCGCTCAACTGCCCCCCTGCCCCTGCCCCTCGATCCAGTCAATAAAGTCAACAAGAGTCTCTCTCTTCCATTTCTTCCCCACGATCACCCCGTGACACGCGTACCAATGCTCCCAGCAACGAGCATCTGCCCATGCCACTCGTGAACGCTCATCTCTCCTTTTTAATTCCCGGTGCTCATCTGATTTCCTGCCCCTCGAACCGGTCAATGAGGTCAACACGAGCCTTCTTTCCCTTCACACAGGTACAGAAGCTCCCCCTCATCTAAGCTCCTGCCCCCTCCAGCTCCCCCTCATCTAAGCTCCTGCCCCCTCCAGCTCCCCCTCATCTAAGCTCCTGCCCCCTCCAGCTCCCCCTCATCTAAGCTCCTGCCCCCTCCAGCTCCCCCTCATCTAAGCTCCTGCCCCCTCCAGCTCCCCCTCATCTAAGCTCCTGCCCCCTCCAGCTCCCCCTCATCTAAGCTCCTGCCCCCTCCAGCTCCCCCTCATCTAAGCTCCTGCCCCCTCCCGCTCATCTGATCTCCTGCCCCCTACCGCTCATCTAATCTCCTGCCCCCTACCGCTCATCTAAGCTCCTGCCCCCTCCAGCTCCCCCTCATCTAAGCTCCTGCCCCCTCCAGCTCCCCCTCATCTAAGCTCCTGCCCCCTACCGCTCATCTGATCTCCTGCCCCCTACCGCTCATCTAATCTCCTGCCCCCTACCGCTCATCTAAGCTCCTGCCCCCTACCGCTCATCTAATCTCCTGCCCCCTACCGCTCATCTAATCTCCTGCCCCCTACCGCTCATCTAATCTCCTGCCCCCTACCGCTCATCTAATCTCCTGCCCCCTACCGCTCATCTAATCTCCTGCCCCCTACCGCTCATCTAATCTCCTGCCCCCTACCGCTCATCTAATCTCCTGCCCCCTACCGCTCATCTAATCTCCTGCCCCCTACCGCTCATCTAATCTCCTGCCCCCTACCGCTCATCTAATCTCCTGCCCCCTACCGCTCATCTAATCTCCTGCCCCATACCGCTCATCTAATCTCCTGCCCCCTACCGCTCATCTAATCTCCTGCCCCCTACCGCTCATCTAATCTCCTGCCCCCTACCGCTCATCTAATCTCCTGCCCCCTACCGCTCATCTAATCTCCTGCCCTCTACCGCTCATCTAATCTCCTGCCCTCTACCGCTCATCTAAGCTCCTGCCCCCTACCGCTCATCTAATCTCCTGCCCCCTACCGCTCATCTAAGCTCCTGCCCCCTACCGCTCATCTGATCTCCTGCCCCCTACCGCTCATCTAAGCTCCTGCCCCCTACCGCTCATCTAATCTCCTGCCCCCTACCGCTCATCTAAGCTCCTGCCCCCTACCGCTCATCTAAGCTCCTGCCCTCTACCGCTCATCTAAGCTCCTGCCCCCTACCGCTCATCTAAGCTCCTGCCCCTCGAACCGGTCAATGAGGTCAACACGAGCCGTCCGCCTCCACTGCTTCATCACCATCACCCCCTCGCACGTCCTGGATGCTCGCAGGCTTGCACATCTGTCCTCCTACTCCTCATCCTCATCTGATCTCCTGCCCCTAGACCCGGTCAAATAAGGTCAACGCGGGTCTTCCTCTTCCACCCCTTCATTATCACTGCCACCCCCCCGCACACGAGTATGGATACCCCCCCTCCCGCTCATCTGATCTCCTGCCCCTCAATCCGGTCAATCAAGCCAACACGAGTCTTCCTCCTCCACCCCTTCATCACTGCCACCAGGTTGATCAGAGAAACGACCTGAGCTCGTGAATACTCCTGGAAGTGGGGGGAACAGATGGCATGGGCATGGCACAGCGGAGGTCAATTCGGTCAATGAGGTCATTTTGAGAATTCTCAAAAGTCAATGAGGTCAACACGAGTCTTCCTCCTCCACCCCTTCATCACTGCCACCAGGTTGATCAGAGACACCACCTGCGCGCGCGAATACTCCTGAGAGGGGGCGACGACAGAGAGAGGTACAGACAGAGAGAGGCACAGAGGTAAGATGAACGTAATGTCAGGCAGCCTGTATCAGGGAGAACACGAGTCTTCATCACTGCCAACAGGTTGATCAGCGAAACCACAAGCACACGCGAATACTCCTGAAAGAGGGAGCACAAAACAGATAGCACGGCACAATACGGAAGAATAAACCTAAAAATCAGAGAAGTGAACATCGACTATACATCGAGACGACCAACTCCTCAAAATAGGGGGAGCAGATGGAATGGCATAAGGGCTTATCAATACTACAATCAGGTCGTATCGTGTACATAGTTGCATGAATACAGTGCTGCATGGTTACACAGGTACATGGGTGCATGTCATGTTGTTACATGGGTGCACACGATCACTCTGTTACTTACAGGATGGCTGAGCGCCCAGTAGAGGTACTCTGTCTCGGGCAGGTAGAAGGCCTGCAAGAAGGTGGGGGGGGGAAGAGCGATGGAGGAGAGTGGGGTTCAATTCAACTCAACAGTCACACAGTCGAGGTACTGTGTCTCAGGCAGATAGAAGGCCTGCAAGGAGGGGGCGGGGAAAGGTGGGATGGGATGGGATGGGATGGGATGGGATGGGATGGGATGGGATGGGATGGGATGGGATGGGATGGGATGGGATGGGATGGGATGGGATGGGATGGGATGGGGGTGGAGGCAGCAAGGCTCTTGAGTTGACCAAAAATACACAAAGGTATACCAGCCGATCCTTGAGTTCGGTTCGGATCAGGGGGTTCGGTTCGGTTCGGTTCGGATCACAAACCCTAAAACCGAAACCCAGGCACCTCAAAAGTGGTCTCTGAGCACTACTTCACTACTAAGGTAGTTTATTATACTACATTACAAAGAGCAAAACGACTACTCTAATTTCTTGAGTCGACTAGACAATGCTCTCACCTTAATGTACGTGTCGGTTTTTGAGTCGACTCAAAAAAAGAAATTGCTCGCACCTTAATGTACGTGTCGACAATCTGCATGTCTGGGCGGCGCCCTGTGAGTGAACACAGCTATTGCAGATTGTGGACACCCGGAGCAAAGCAAATACCCCATGCTCTCACCTTGATGTACGTGTCGACAATCTGCATGTCTGGGCGGCGCCCTGTGAGCTGCTGCAAACCGTTAATCAGCGTCTGGTGTGGGAAACGGGCGCATAAATTAACAGATGACAATGAACGGATCAGTTCCTGATTTTTTGGACTGTAGTGGTGACGATTATTCACCTAAAGATGCACCAGCTGTGCTGTGTTTGGAGTCAACTCGACTATACGATCGGCGACTGAAGATACACCAGCTGAGTGTTACCAGATAAATCTATTAGGTCATGTCCACAGTTTGTACCAACACGCGTCATGGATGAGAGTGAATGGCCATGAATGGGTGTGAAGGGTTACCGGCAGGTCGAGAGGCATGAGCGCACACCCTTCATAGGATTCGTGTGTGATTCGTGTGTGATGTGCCTCATCACACAAGAGGCATGAGCGCACACCCTTCATAGGATTCGTGTGTGATTCGTGTGTGATGTGCCTCATCACACAAGAGGCATGAGCGCACACCCGTCATAGGATTCGTGTGTGATTCGTGTGTGATGTGCCTCATCACACAAGAGGCATGAGCGCACACCCTTCATAGGATTCGTGTGTGATTCGTGTGTGATGTGCCTCATCACACAAGAGGCATGAGCGCACACCCTTCATAGGATTCGTGTGTGATTCGTGTTTGATGTGCCTCATCACACAAGAGGCATGAGCGCACACCCTTCATAGGATTCGTGTGTGATTCGTGTGTGATGTGCCTCATCACACAAGAGGCATGAGCGCACACCCTTCATAGGATTCGTGTGTGATTCGTGTGTGATGTGCCTCATCACACAAGAGGCATGAGCGCACACCCGTCATAGGATTCGTGTGTGATTCGTGTGTGATGTGCCTCATCACACAAGAGGCATGAGCGCACACCCGTCATAGGATTCGTGTGTGATTCGTGTGTGATGTGCCTCATCACACAAGAGGCATGAGCGCACACCCTTCATAGGATTCGTGTGTGATTCGTGTGTGATGTGCCTCATCACACAAGAGGCATGAGCGCACACCCTTCATAGGATTCGTGTGTGATTCGTGTTTGATGTGCCTCATCACACAAGAGGCATGAGCGCACACCCTTCATAGGATTCGTGTGTGATTCGTGTGTGATGTGCCTCATCACACAAGAGGCATGAGCGCACACCCTTCATAGGATTCGTGTGTGATTCGTGTGTGATGTGCCTCATCACACAAGAGGCATGAGCGCACACCCGTCATAGGATTCGTGTGTGATTCGTGTGTGATGTGCCTCATCACACAAGAGGCATGAGCGCACACCCGTCATAGGATTCGTGTGTGATTCGTGTGTGATGTGCCTCATCACACAAGAGGCATGAGCGCACACCCTTCATAGGATTCGTGTGTGATTCGTGTGTGATGTGCCTCATCACACAAGAGGCATGAGCGCACACCCTTCATAGGATTCGTGTGTGATTCGTGTTTGATGTGCCTCATCACACAAGAGGCATGAGCGCACACCCTTCATAGGATTCGTGTGTGATTCGTGTGTGATGTGCCTCATCACACAAGAGGCATGAGCGCACACCCTTCATAGGATTCGTGTGTGATTCGTGTGTGATGTGCCTCATCACACAAGAGGCATGAGCGCACACCCGTCATAGGATTCGTGTGTGATGTGCCTCATCACACAAGAGGCATGAGCGCACACCCGTCATAGGATTCGTGTGTGATTCGTGTTTGATGTGCCTCATCACACAAGAGGCATGAGCGCACACCCTTCATAGGATTCGTGTGTGATTCGTGTGTGATGTGCCTCATCACACAAGAGGCATGAGCGCACACCCTTCATAGGATTCGTGTGTGATTCGTGTGTGATGTGCCTCATCACACAAGAGGCATGAGCGCACACCCTTCATAGGAGCAGCGCTTGATTGACTCGAGGGAAGAATTTTGACTTGAGGGAAGACTTTTGACTTGAGTCAACTCACAGGTTACCTGAGGCGATTTTTGAGTCGACTCAAAAAGCGCTTGATTGACTCGAGCGAAGACTTTTGACTTGAGTCAACTCACAGGTTACCTGTAGCTGTAGGTCGAGGGACATGAGTTGACCTACAGGAAACTTATAAGTAACTTATGACCTACCTGCAGGTCGAGAGACATGAGCGCTCGCCCTTCATTGGAGCACCGCTTGACTCGAGAGAAACCCTCCACAAGCACGTCGGCCACTGCCTCCATGGCGAACTGCACCAGCTGGTGCTGCACCTGTTGGTGTCAGACATAGAGCCAGAAGTAACGCAGGGGGCAAAGGAGCAGAGCTATGGGCTCGAAAGACTCAAGAAAAGCCCTCCACAAGCACGTCTGCCACTGCCTCCATGGCGAACTGCACCAGCTGGTGCTGCACCTGTTGGTGTCAGACATAGTGCCAGAAGTAACGCAGGGGGCAAAGGAGCAGAGCTATGGGCTTGAAAGACTCAAGAAAAGCCCTCCACAAGCACTTCTGCCACTGCCTCCGTTGCAAACTGCACCAGCTGGTGCTGCACCTCTGGATGTGATGCCATGTCAGACACACAAGCACAGGGGGCAATGGAACAGACCACAGGTGAGCCCTCCAACAGCCCTCCACCAGCACGTCTGCTACTGCTTCCATGGCGAACTGCATCAATTGGTGCTGCACCTGCGGGTGTGAGACACACAACACAACACATGCACAGTACAGGCAGGATGCACAGCGCGCAGCGGGCCACACAGGTAAGCCCTCCAGAAGAGCACCAGCCGGGTAAGAGCCCTTCACGAGCACGTCTCCTACAGCTTCCATTGCAAACTGCACCAGCTGGTGCTGCACCTGTGGGATTCGATGTCATGACATGCACACTAGATGCAGTAATGACAGGGTAATACGGGGCAAAGGAGCACAGTTAAGAGCTCGAATGACTCGAGAGAAGCCCTCCACTAGCACAGTTCGCCTTCTTCAGCTGCTACGGCTTCCATTGTGAATTGCACCAGCTGCTGCTGTACCTGCCGAAGCAGCGCTAATGGATGAAAAGGCGACAGTACAAAACAGACCGGCAGGCAGGGACTCCCCACTCCCGTTGGAAAAGCGACGCAAAAAAAAAACAAAAAACAAAAAACAAAAAACATCGCGAGATGATGAGGATGATGCGAATCAACAATACCTGGACTGGGATGCCCAGGTGGTTCAATCTCTGTAGCAGGAGGCGGAATTCCGACAGGAGCACATCCACGTAGCTGAAGTGATTGGGAGGTGGGAGAGGGGGGATTGGGCCAGGGGGCGTATGGAGAGGGGAGGAAGGACATTACAGGAGGCAGAAATTCGACACAAGAGAATCCAAGTACTTGGTGTCAGGGATGGAATGACGGAATTGAATTGAATGGACGGTGGAGATGGAGGAAACACATGAAAAGGGACGATGAGGTTCAGGCAAAAATCCAATGCGTGCATGTATGTATGTATGTATGTATGTATGTATGTATGTATGTATGTATGTATGTATGTATGTATGTATGTATGTATGTATGTATGTATGTATGTATATTCTAGCATGCTAACACTTTTGTGACTGTACACCAAGTGTGGTGTACACTTGGGTTGGGACTACACCCAACATTGGGTGTAGTCTTGCATATTGGGGTGCCAATCCAACCCAATTGTGGTGGAGCCCCCAAATGCAACCCAATGGGCCATAGGTTGCCTCACTCCCCCAAGTCAGGCGAACCCAACCCAATGGGCCATAGGTTGCCTCACTTGCCCAAGTGAGGCTAGCCCAACCCAATGGGCCATAGGTTTCCCCACTTCTCCAAGTGAGGGCAACTCAACCTAATAGGCCATAGGTTGCCTCACTTCCCCAAGTGAGGCTAGCCCAACCCAATGGGCCATAGGTTACCCCACTTCCCTAAGTGAGGGCAACTCAACCCAATAGGCCATAGGTTGTCTCACTTCCCCAAGTGAGGCCAACCCAACCCAATGGGCCACAGTTTGGCCCACTCTCCAAATGGCACCTTCCCTTCTTTCCCTTTCATCCTTCTCTCCAATTCTATGTATACCCCAATCTATCTCTAATGAATCTAATGATTCCATTTCTTCTCACACAGTGCAGTACAATGATGGGACCAGAACGCATGTACACATAACACACACATGGCATGACGACACACATGCACGTACGGGCTGTGATAGGACGTGACGTCGTGGGACTCCCATCTCCCTGCTGCAATCTTGTCCGCATAGCTGCGGTAGCAAAGGAGAAAGACAAGGTAAGGGAAAGAGGCAATCAGCGTGAAGGAGGCGTAGTGGGGAAAGAAAGGGAAACGAGAGCTTCTGAACGGAAATATTGACACCTTGTGAATGAAAACCGAGATTGCAAGGGCACCAGGTTCCATTTGGCAACAAAAAAAAAAAAAAAAAAAAAAAAAGGGGGAGGGGGGGGGGGGGGTTTCCTGAGGTGAAGATTGTATGAGAAGATCCAGATTGTTTTATGTTCAAGAGACAATCTGCCAGAACACTCATCTGGTGAGGGTTGATTGGTGAGCAGTTGGGCCGTATTTTAGGCGCCTCGAATCGAACTTCGTCTCCTGTCTTTTGAGGCACGTGAAAAGTAGTCACATGCCACACCACCTCTTATGAGCCAGAAAGCTTACCTGCTGAAGTTGATGAGCAACCGAGCAGCTGTTCTCATGACATGCTCACAGAGCTCTGGTACCACCTCCAGCTGCGAGGCGATAACGCGAGGGAAGGGAGAGAGGTGTGTGGGAGACAAGAGGATACATGGGACATGAAAGAAAGGCTGCTGTCCTCATCGCGTGCCCACAGAGCTCTGGTACCTTTACGAGCTAAGAGGAGATGATTCAAGGGGGTGAAGGGGTATGTATGTGGGAGACAAAAGGAGAAACTGGAGTAGAAAGGGTGCTGTCAGTCAGTCAGCACATGCTCACAGAGAGTTGTGAACACTGTTAGAGAAAATCGATCTAATACGATGTGAATGAAGGATGATTCACAGTTTCGGATGTGTAGGACTCAAGCAGTGGCCAGGACGTCTTGTGCAGGTGTCATCACCAGGAAATGAAATACAATACTTGGATGAGATTTAGGAGTTGAAGAGCAGTAAGAAGAAGGACTTACAGTTCTGGAGGTGTGAGACTCAAGCACCAGCCAAGACGCCTTGGGAAGGTGCCATCACCACCAGGAAATAAATACAGTACTAAGAAATTTAGGGTTTAGGGCGAGTAGTATGAAGAATAAATTACAGTTTCGGAAGTGTAGGACTCGAGCAGCGGCCAGGACGTCTTGGGAAGGTGCGAGAGGAAGCGCTGCCGTGCTGCCTGCACCACGTGGGAGAGCCAGAGGAGCGACTCGATCGCCACACACCGCTCCTGAGGAAGAGTGAGGGGTTTGGAGGTGTGAAAGGTGGGGTTGGTGTGTTATATGAGCAGGTGTGAGAGGAAGCGCTGCCGTGCTGCCTGCACCACGTGGGACAGCCACAGCAGCGACTCGATCGCCACACACCGCTCCTGGGGTTGGTGGGATGGGGGACAGAGAGGGTGGTGAGGGGTGAGTGGGAGTGGGGTGAGGAGGGGGAGGGGGTGGATGGAAGGTGGGCTTGGTGACTTCGGAAGGTGCGAGAGGAAGCGCTGCCGTGCTGCCTGCACCACGTGGGAGAGCCATAGCAGCGACTCGATCGCCACACACCGCTCCTGGCAGAGGTGGGAGACGGAGGATGAGAGGGGGCAGGAGTGAGTGGAAGGTGGGGTTGGTGTGTTCGATGGGAAGGCGCAATTGCGAAGCGCTGACATCCTGCCTTCACTATGTGCTGCCTTCACTATGTGCGACAGCCATAGCAGCAGATTGATCGCTACACCGCGCTCCTAGGTTTGGCGGGGCACACCCAGAAGGCGCGAGGGTGAGAAGGGACGAGGCGGCGTGGAGAGAGAGGAGAGGATGGGCGTGGGACCGAGGGTCAGGGTGGGAGAGATGGTGAGGGGTGAAAGGGGTGTGGCGTAGCGTAGCCTGGTTGGTGGAGAGCGTTGAATCGACACAAAGGTCATGGTTTGTGTCAATTTGAGTGTCATCATTTGAGGCAATTCGAATATCATATCATATTTCGAGTCAACTGAAGCAAACTCACCCTGAGAGCATAGAAGTTGGAGGAGGAGATGAGCACCCTGGTGCCGCTCTTGCCGTCAAACAGACTTGGCCGCACTGCCACACTCCCATTGCCTTCTCCACCACCCTTTGCAGCAGCACCACCCCTAGCACCAGCACCAGCACCTCTAGCCGCACCAGCAGCAGCACCAGCAGCAGATGCTCCTGTAGTTGATTCGAGAGAAGAGGCGGCAGCTGCAGCAGCAGCAGAAGCAGCAGCAGAGGCAGCAGCGGAGGCAGCAGCGGATGCAGCAGCATCAGAGAAGGAGGGAGGAGAGAGAGGACGCAGGCCCATGGCTTCAAACTTGTGCAGGATCTTGGTGAGCACGGCTCGGAGCTTGGGGGATAGCACTGTGCGTGGATACAGGAGGAGGGGGGAGGAGGGAGCAGGGAAAAGGAAGGGAAAGCAGAAAAGGAAGGGGGAAGGGAAATTGGAATGGAAAGGGAGAGTGCGAGACAGAGAGAGGGCGCAGCCCCATGGCTTCGAACTTGTGCAGGATCTTGGTGAGCACGGCACGGAGCTTGGGGGATAGCACTGTGCGGGTAGAGAAGAAGGGAGCGGATGCAGGGAGACGGGGGAAGGAGGGCAGAATGGAGGGCAGAAGAGGGAAGGGAAAGGGAGAAGATGGAGTAGGGGGGCGTGGATACATGGCTTAAAGCCTTGGCGAAGAGAGAGAATTTTCCGGATCATTCAAAAGCTGATATCAATAAAGAGAGTTTAAAAGCTGATATCAATAAAGAGAGTTTAAAAGCTGATATCAATAAAGAGAGTTTAAAAGGGATGAGAGGGTTATCAAAACTCACAGTGAGCAGCGGCAGGGTCGGCGGATCGCAGGGCAGCGAAGGCCTCCCGATGGCCGAATATGCGGAATACTGTGATGAGATAGAGGTCGAATAGTTGCCACACGGACTGAGGGAGGCAAGAGAGGGGGGAAGAGGTGGATAAAAGACGGAGATGAATAGTGGCATTTCAACGCGTTAAGATGCAGAAACTTTGAGATAAAGGTCAAAGAGCTGCCCACACAGACTGAGGGAGAAGAATGTAACTAGACAAGTGTAAGGGGGAGAATGTAACTAGACAAGTGTAAGGGGGAGAATGTAACTAGACAAGTGTAAGGGGGAGAATCTTGCGAAGGTTTTGCGAGGTTCCACTTCGACAGCTCATGGGCCAAAAACAAACTGCGAGGTTCCACTTCGACAGCTCATGGGCCAAAAACAAACTGCGAGGTTCCACTTCGACAGCTCATGGGCCAAAAACAAACTGCGAGGTTCCACTTCGACAGCTCATGGGCCAAAAACAAACTGCGAGGCTCAAAAAACTAGTGATCGCCCCAAAGAGCGAGTTTGGGAGGAGAGAGGAGGGGGAGAGGGGGGGGACTGTGATGCACTCTGCTCAGCATGCTGCAATGCGTATTACTCACCATGATGACATCAGCAGAGATGGGTCCGAGAGAGAACAGCAGAGTGACCTGATAGTCCATTAGCCTGCCAGGCAGCATTGGGAGGGCGGACAGTGGGACCGACAAGGGGCATGGGGAGTTGGCTGAGAGAACAGCAGAGTGACCTCATAGTCCATTAGCCTGCCGGGCGGCATTGGGAGGGCGGACAGGGGGAGGGCGGACAGTGGGAGCGACAAGGGGCATGGGGAGTTGGCTGAGAGAACAGCAGAGTGACCTCATAGTCCATTAGCCTGCCGGGCGGCATTGGGAGGGCGGACAGGGGGAGGGCGGACAGTGGGAGCGAAAAGGGGCATGGGGAGTTGGCTGAGAGAACAGCAGAGTGACCTCATAGTCCATTAGCCTGCCGGCCGGCATTGGGAGGGCGGACAGGGGGAGGGCAGACAGTGGGAGCGACAAGGGGCATGGGGAGTTGGCTGAGAGAACAGCAGAGTGATCTCATAGTCCATTAGCCTGCCGGGCGGCATTGGGAGGGCGGACAGGGGGAGGGCGGACAGTGGGAGCGACAAGGGGCATGGGGAGCTGGCTGAGAGAACAGCAGAGTGACCTCATAGTCCATTAGCCTGCCGGGCAGCATTGGGAGGGCGGACAGGGGGAGGGCGGACAGTGGGAGCGACAAGGGGCATGGGGAGTTGGCTGAGAGAACAGCAGAGTGACCTCATAGTCCATTAGCCTGCTGGGCGGCATTGGGAGGGCGGACAGGGTAGGGCCGCAGGGGAAGGGACGGGAGGGGAAGCGGCGGTAGGGGAAAGGGCGGCACGGGAAGGGGCGCCAGGGGAAGGGGAGGCAGGGGAAGGACGGCAAGGGTGGGAGCGGAGAGAAGAGGTGGGGTGTGCAGTGGGAGGGAGGCAGAGGAAAGTGCAGTGGGTGATGGGGGAGAGGGTTGACGGGGGCGGCTTGGATGGTAAGTAGCCATGGCATGGCAAGGCATGACACGGCATAGCAAGACATGGCACGGCACCGCACAGCGTAGCATCGAATGAAGAATCACGCCCACCTGACAGCACCGAGAGCAGACGCAGTGGCAACAAAGTCCTGCTCCTCCCCCTTCCCTGCTTTTTTCGAGGCGCCTCAAAAATAGGCAGCATAGAATGGCATGAAGAATGAAACACACCTGACAGCACCAAGGGCAGACGCAGTGGCGGCAAATTCCTGCTCCTCCCCTTTCCCTGCCTTTCCCCCCTTCCCTCCCTTCCCCCCTTTGCTCCCACCAGCACCCACCCCTCCACCTCCCTCCTTCCCAATGCCAGCCCGCCTCCTCCCCTGGCCCCCCAGCCTGCCATCACTCTGTGAGCGGCCTAGTAGAGAGTCTGGCAGTAACGAGGACGGTGGTGCTGGGGAGTATATCCTCGTTGTGCCACTCCTCTGCACCCCTCCCCTCCCTCCTTCTCCCTTTCCTATTCCACCTCCGCCTCCTGACCCTCCTGCCTTGCCCCCCCCTGCCCCTCTTCCTCCTCTTCCTCCTCGTCCCCCGCTCCTGCTTCTCTGCACGCTGCTGCTGCTCTTGCTGCTAGGCACTCCGTCCCTGCCTCCCTCTCTGCCTATCTCTCCTCCTCTGCCTCCGCCTCTGCTCCCTCTCTCCCGCTCTCTCCCTCCCTCCTCCTCCCCCTCGCCATCCTCATCTATGTAATCGGCTAGCAACTCCTCACTCTCCTCCTCTTCTTCTTCCTCCTCCTCCTCCTCCTCCTCTTCCTGCTCCACTCCTTCCCCTTCCTCTCCCATCCTCAATAAACCGCTCCCAACCCCTCTCATGCCACTGCTGGCACCACTCACAGCAGCAGTAGGGTCGCTACAAACAGCAGCAACACCGGAAGGGCTAGCAGCGGCAACAGCACCACCACTCCTGCTGTAGCTGAAGGTATTACTCTTCAAATCGTACCCACTGCCCCAGCTACCACCGCTACCAGCATCACCACCACCAGCAGCGGAGCCAGTGGGAGTTGGGGCGGCATTTCTTGGAGCCACTTGCTCAGAGCTGTACTGTCGAAGTTCGTTCACTCCCTCTGCTGCACTCCCAAACCTACCTGCCCCATATCCACCTCCCCCAGAAGAAACCCCTGCTCCATATGCTCCTCCTCCTGGGCTCTGATACGCAGAATGCGGGCTGGACCTTCCGGAACCCCCCCTCTCTCTTTCTCTCTCTCGCTCCTTCTCCATCTCCCTCTCTCGCTCCATATCCATAAATTTATCTCGCAGCATCTCCCGGTCTCTCTCCCGTGCTCTCTCCCGTGCCACTCCCCCCATCCCCCCCTGTGAGACCACCACCAACTCCCTCAGCATCCCCTGCGGCCCATCCCACCCCATTCCACCGCTGCTAACCCCTCTTCCTCCCCTTCCTCCCCCTCCACCCGCCCCTCGCCCTCTCCCGCTTGCAGAATCAAGCTGCTCCCTCCCACCCCTCACATTCTCTACATTGAAAGGTTGGTCTAGTTGCATCCAGTGACTAAAATCCCACACACGCCCTGCCTCCGCGCCTCCCTCGCTTCCCACCCCTCCCACAACCATTCCTCCTCTTCCCACTCCTCCCGCTCCCATCACTCCTCCCGCTCCTCCCGCTCCTCCACATCCTCTTCCCCCGGCAAGAGCAGAGTCGCTGGGACTCGAGGTGAGCATTTTGGCGGGCGAGCGGGCGAGCGTGGAGCGAGCGGAGATGAGACTTTGCACCTCGGGGGCTTGCTGGGAGGACGGAGGGAGGGGCTGCCATGTTTCCCGTTCCACCATCATACGCAGCACCTGCCACAGGGTCGGGAAGAGCATGGGAAGATTGGGCGAGACTTACGTATGCTGTGCCACACGGGGAAGACTTTTGAGACGTCTCAAAACGAGACTTACGTATGCTGTGCCACACGGGGAAGACTTTTGAGACGTCTCAAAACGAGACTTACGTATGCTGTGCCACACGGGGAAGACTTTTGAGACGTCTCAAAACGAGACTTACGTATGCTGTGCCACACGGGGAAGACTTTTGAGACGTCTCAAAAGATTGGGCGAGACTTACGTATGCTGTGCCACACGGGGAAGACTTTTGAGACGTCTCAAAAGATTGGGCGAGACTTACGTATGCTGTGCCACACGGGGAAGACTTTTGAGACGTCTCAAAAGATTGGGCGAGACTTACGTATGCTGTGCCACACGGGGAAGACTTTTGAGACGTCTCAAAAGATTGGGCGAGACTTACGTATGCTGTGCCACACGGGGAAGACTTTTGAGACGTCTCAAAAGATTGGGCGAGACTTACGTATGCTGTGCCACACGGGGAAGACTTTTGAGACGTCTCAAAAGATTGGGCGAGACTTACGTATGCTGTGCCACACGGGGAAGACTTTTGAGACGTCTCAAAAGATTGGGCGAGACTTACGTATGCTGTGCCACACGGGGAAGACTTTTGAGACGTCTCAAAAGATTGGGCGAGACTTACGTATGCTGTGCCACACGGGGAAGACTTTTGAGACGTCTCAAAAGATTGGGCGAGACTTACGTATGCTGTGCCACACGGGGAAGACTTTTGAGACGTCTCAAAAGATTGGGCGAGACTTACGTATGCTGTGCCACACGGGGAAGACTTTTGAGACGTCTCAAAAGATTGGGCGAGACTTACGTATGCTGTGCCACACGGGGAAGACTTTTGAGACGTCTCAAAAGATTGGGCGAGACTTACGTATGCTGTGCCACACGGGGAAGACTTTTGAGACGTCTCAAAAGATTGGGCGAGACTTACGTATGCTGTGCCACACGGGGAAGACTTTTGAGACGTCTCAAAAGATTGGGCGAGACTTACGTATGCTGTGCCACACGGGGAAGACTTTTGAGACGTCTCAAAAGATTGGGCGAGACTTACGTATGCTGTGCCACACGGGGAAGACTTTTGAGACGTCTCAAAAGATTGGGCGAGACTTACGTATGCTGTGCCACACGGGGAAGACTTTTGAGACGTCTCAAAAGATTGGGCGAGACTTACGTATGCTGTGCCACACGGGGAAGACTTTTGAGACGCCTCAAAAGATTGGGCGAGACTTACGTATGCTGTGCCACACGGGGAAGACTTTTGAGACGTCTCAAAAGATTGGGCGAGACTTACGTATGCTGTGCCACACGGGGAAGACTTTTGAGACGTCTCAAAAGATTGGGCGAGACTTACGTATGCTGTGCCACACGGGGAAGACTTCTGAGATGTCTCAAAAGATTGGGCGAGACTTACGTATGCTGTGGCACACGGGGAAGCAAGGGTGGCGCGGGAGGAGATGAGATGGTGCCTCGGGGGCTTGCAGGGAGGAGGAAGGAGAGAGCAAAAGCTACGTATTTCGTTCCACCATCGTAGTCACTTCACTTACTTACACACACTCCCACTCACTCATTCCCTCATGCTGGTGGTGGCTGCAGAAGAACTGGTCACACACACTGACTCACTCACTCCCTCACTCACCTCCAGTGCCTGCCGGTGGTAATTCCGAAAGAACTGGTCGCACTGCCGACCCATCTTGGCCCTCAGACTCCCCGCCTCTGCTTGGGTGAACGCCTCCCCTGCCAGCACAAAATCCTCCACCAGACACAGGATCTGTAGGTGACGAGGGAGATTGAATAGGGCAACGAAAGGACACAGACAGAGGCATAAATGAGCTGACATGTTGGTGGGTGCCGAGCCATCTTGGCCTTCAGTCAGGCTCCCTGTCTCCGCTGGGGTGAACGCCTCCCCTGCCAGCACAAAGTCTATAATCAAACAGAGAAGCTGCGGTTTGGGGGGAAGGGGGGTTAGCTTGAGGCAGCAGGAGCCAGACAATGGATGGTAGATGCATCTAGGCCCTCGGACTCCCCACATCCGCTTGGACGCCTCCCCGGCCAGCACAAAGTCTTCAACCAGACACAGGATCTGCAGGGGACGAGGGGGATGATTTAGGGCAGGAAAGGAGCACACAAGCACAAAGGAGCTGAGACGTTGGTGGGCGCTTCTTCGCCCTTGGCGCCTACCGGCCTCCGCTTGGATGAACGCCTCTCTTGCCAGCACAGAGTTCCTTGACTTTTGAAAATGCCTCAAGGAAATTTTCCAGAGAGCTGAAGCTTTCCTGCAACATTGTAAGCAGGGGTTAGGAATGACTTCAAGTAAAAACGGGAGAATCAAGCAATTCTTCCAAAGTTTTATCTGCAACGACACGAAACACAATGTCCATACCGCATGCAGCCTGGAAATGTCAACCTGCTGGTGCTGAAGCCGGTCGAACACTATGCTCCCGCATAGGAAATAATACAAATAGGACACAATGTATCTTTCGCGCTCAAGCACACTTACAGCGAATTAGGTTGTGCACGGATACACAAGTCCTAAGTCGTCCTCACCATCGTCGCCCATGCATGTTTCTCAGGACTTGTGTATCCCTGCGCATCCTGGTTTGCTGTAAGTATACTTGAGCGCGAAGGGTACATTGTGTCATTTTCGCATTATTACCTAAACGGGAGCATAGTGTTTGACCTGCTTCAGCACCAGCAGGTTGACATTTTCGGGTTGCCGAGGTACGGACATTGTGTTTCGTGTCTTTGCTGATGAAATTTTGGAGCAACTGCTTGTTCCTCCCGTTTTTACTTGAAGTCATTCTTACCCCCTATTATTAATGTTGCAGGAAAGCTTCAGCTCTCTGGAAGCATTCCTTGAGGCATTTTTAAAGGCCAAGGGACTTTGTGCTGGCAGAAAACACAAGATCCGCAGGGCGCAGTGTGTCCAAGGCAGCATGGGAAAAGAGCACACAAGGGAGAGACACGGATACGATGAGGCGGCAGGGGGTGGGTGCGTGGTGGATAAGTTGACTGACACATGTGTGGCTGCCTCTTGACCCTCCAACTCCCTGCCCTGGCATGAGTGAATGGCGAATAGGGAATAGTTTTAAGAAAGTCGAACGCACCTGCAGAAACTGTTCAGAGGTGCCAGCACACAGGAGGGGCAGAAAGCAGAGCCGCCACTCTGCGAGAAGCCAGCTCCCACACCGCCTTCCTGTATTGGCGAATCAAAAGCAGAGATGTAGACAGAACAGAAGCACAAGCACGCACCTGTAAGAATTGCTCAGAAGTCCCGAAGCACACAGGAGGAGCAGACAGCAGAGCCGCCACCCTTCGAGCAGCCAGATCCCACACCGTCTTCCGACCCTTCTCTAGTGCACCCCTCACTGCTGCTGCTGCCACCTCCCGCACAGCTGGCGTCAGCTCACTGGCCGGCGACAGGACAGCTGGCATCAGCTCATTGGCTGCTGACGGCCCCGCGGCTGAGCTGGTTACACTGGCAGGTGTGGCAGCAGGGATAGCAGAAGCAGCAGTTGCAGCAGAAGTAGACGAAGCAGCAGCACCAACAGCAGCAGCGGTAGCAGTAGCAGCAGTGGAACTATCAGTAACAGGCTCTTTCCCCTTGAGAGACCCGGCTAATGGCGTCACCCTCTCCCCCGGCTCTCCCAGCTCCAGCATGCTTCCACCTTCTCCTCCTCCTCCTCCTCCTCCTCCTCCTCCTCCTCCTCCTCCTCCTCCTCCTCCTCCTCCTCCTCCTCCTCCTCCTCCTCCTCCTCCTCCTCCTCCTCCTCCTCCTCCTTCCTTTGCACCTCCTTTTCCACACCTCCTCTCTCCCGTCGCAGCTTCCATCCTGTCCACATCATCTTGCACGTCTTGCAGAAAGTTCCAATGCTCACCGCCACTACCACTAGCACCCACTACTCTATCACTGAAACCATCACCACCACCACTGCCAGTGGGTGCTGCAGCACTGCTGGGTGCAACGCTGCTGCTGCCACCAGCACCACTGCTGCCACTGGCGCCAGGCGTAGCAGCAGCAGCAGCCTGTGCTGAGATGGACTGTGCCTCGGCCGGGACGTCAAACACAACAGCCTGTGCAGCTGGCAAGCACAGCGAGTCTTCAAACCGGTCTGGGGCAGCACTGCTCTCCCCACTCACCCTGCTCTCCCCACTCACCCTGCTCTCCCCACTCACCCTGCTCTCCCCACTCACCCTGCTCTCCCCACTCACCCTGCTCTCCCAATTCGCCTTGCTCTCACCACCACCCCTCTCTGCTGCACTCTTACTGCCAGTCTTGCTGCTGCTTGCACTCGCCGGGTCAAGCTTCGATGGCTGAGAGGAGGAGCGCAGAGGTGTGGATGGATTGGTGGGTTGGGCGATGGGGACCGCTGATGCAGTGCCTTGGGGTGCGCTTGAAGCAGCAGAGGGAGGAGCAGCAGGAGGGGCAGCCGGAGGAGCAGCAGCGGATACCTGTGGAAAGAGCAGAGAGGACAACAAGCAGGGTCACGGTTTTCTTAGGCAACACAATAACAAACTGATGCAGTACCTTGGGGCGTATTCAATGAGCAAGAGGGGTGTAACACCTGGGTGTGTGTGGAAGAAAATGGAAGAGAAACAGCATGCATGGAAAATACATGTGTATGCTTTGGCAAATCAGCACAACATACATCCGGAGAACGAGTGGAGCTTTGCATATGCAGCTTACCGTCTTAAGCAGTGGGTGGTGAGCAGTCATCATGACGTGGTGCGAGCACATGAGCTCAAAAACGAGCTCAAAAGACACATGAGAAGCGTGTGTTTTTTGAGAATTCTCAAAAGACACATGAGAAGTGGCTTGCAGTAGGCAATGCGACTCACCGTCTTCAGCAGTGGATGGTGGGCAGTCATCATGACGTGGTGTGAGCACATGAGCTCAAACACGAGCTCCATGGTGCGGATGAGGCAAAGGAAGAAGAATCGGTCTGACAGCTGCCCGCAGAGCTCGCTGTATGCCATTCTGTTATGAAGGGGAGGGGCAGGGAGGCACGGATGAGTGGTGCGAGCACATGAGCTCAAAGACGAGCTCCATGGTGTGGATGAGGCAGTGGAAGAAGAATCAGTCCGACAGCTGCCCACATAATTCACTGTATGCCATTCTGTTTTGACAGGGAGAGGGGCAGGGAGGCAGGGATACGAGAGCCAGGGATGAGGCAGAGGAAGAAGAATTGGTCTGAAGGGGAGAGAAGCAAGGATAAGAGATGGAGGGATGATGGAATGAAGTTGAAATCCTTGTGTAATAAGGGGATTATGCCTTGTGTGAAATGAAATCAAAAGAGGCTGGATTCAGAAGAGGGTGGAATTCATCAAGACGACAGGCGGCGGCATACCTGCTTCTTCTGGCGTCGTCTTCTGTGCTTCCCTGCACAAGCACACAACCAGGCCGCACGCACGACGACGGTGACATGTGATGTAAGCAAGCAATGGCGCAATGGGTGGGTGACAAGCCGATGTCGTAAGTCTCAGAGACCACTCGCACACACACTCACACACTCCCACGTGCATATTGCTACTCACACACTCTAACTCACTCACACACACTGCTCCCACCCAGCCAGCTCTCTCACACCCCCACCTGCTCCACGAACTGCAACAGGATGTCGTAGGAATCGTCTCAGTAACCACATGCTTGCACACACCCACACACTCTTGCACACACCCACACCCAACACCCACCCTCCCTCACTCCCACCTGCTCCACGAACTGCAGCAGGATGTCTTAGGTATTGTCACAGCGACCACACACATGGACACACGGACACACACACACACTCACCCGCCCACGTACACATTGCCACCACCACCCAATCCCCACCAACCCACCCACCCACCCACCCACCCACCCCTACCCCACCTGCTCCACGAACTGCAGCAGGATGTCGTAGGTCTCAGACACCACTGCTTGGGAGAAGAAGTTGTGCACCTTCTCCGCCAGGGCTGGCAGCCCGTTCATCACCGCATACGAGTCCAGCACCTGGGGGGAAGCATGTGGGGAAGAGGGGAGATAGGGGGGGGTTGACTACTAGGCTCCTGAACCACCAAGTCACACCTTCGCTGCCAGGGCTGGCAGCCCGTTCACAACCGCATACGAGTCCAGCACCTGGGGGGCGAGAAGGGGGGGGGGAAGCGAATGAAGAGCAGTGGGTGAGTCTCGGAGACCACCGCCTGGGAAAAGAAATTGTGCACCTTCTCTGCCAGAGCTGGCAGCCCGTTCATCACTGCGTACGAGTCGAGCACCTGGGGGGGGGAGGGGTGGAAGGGTGCGAGGGCAAGGGAAGCACCGCCACACCACACCTTCTCCACCAGGGCTGGCAGCGCGTTCATCACTGCGTACGAGTCGAGCACCTGGAAAGAGGGCAAGATAGGGGCAGAGAGAGCTCGCTTTCACTGCTCTGCACCACATCAAACCAGCCAGGGCAGGCAGCCCGTTCATCACTGCGTACGAGTCGAGCACCTGGGGGGGGGGAGGGGTGGAAGGGTGCGAGGGCAAGGGAAGCACCGCCACACCACACCTTCTCCACCAGGGCTGGCAGCGCGTTCATCACTGCGTACGAGTCGAGCACCTGGAAAGAGGGCAAGATAGGGGCAGAGAGAGCTCGCTTTCACTGCTCTGCACCACATCAAACCAGCCAGGGCAGGCAGCCCGTTCATCACTAAGTAAGCCTGTAAAAACGAATACGAATACGAATACGAATATTTTTTCTCCCTATTCTCCGAATAATGCGTTGTTTCTTATTTGACCGAATACTGGCCCAAACTCGAATACGAATACGATACGAATACTGACCCAAAACCGAATACGAATACGATTCGAATACTGCCGAATCCGAATCGAATATGATTAAATTTCGAATACAGAAATCCTTGTAGAGGCAGTGTCGACACAGGGTGATACAATGTACCTTATACTACCAACACCACGACCCTCTCCAGCTACTTTCTTGCACAGCTCTCACACGACCTCTGGTACACAGACAGCCTCATGTAGGGAAAGTACGAGGGGGGGGGTTAATGATAGAATACCGAATAGTAACGAATACCTCGAATATTCGTTACCCGAATATTCTACATTCACGAATACCCGTGATGCGAATATTTTCGAATACATGGTCGTTTCTTATTCTCTCGAATTCAGGTATTCGAACGAATATCGAATAGTTCTCGAATACCGAATATTCTTTTACAGGCTTATCACTAAGTACGAGTCGAGTACCTGCAAGGTGGAAGGCGAGAGTGCATGAGGGCGAGGGAAGTATCATCACCCAGCTACAGAAGCACTTCATACCTTCTTTGCCAGAGCTGGCTGGCTGGCAGCCTGCAGGTAGGAGCCCCAAGAGAAAACCCGGTTAGGATAGGTGGTGAAGGGGTACTGACCGTGGCATAGGCGGTGGGGTTGTAGCGGCGGCAGACTGTGAAGAGAATGGCGTCCACCTCATCCACCACCCGTGCCAACCAGCCCTGGAGTGCAATGGGGTGCAATGGGGTGAAATGGGGTGCAATGGGGTGCAACGGGGTGCAATGGGGTGCATTAAAGAGCACGGTACAATGAAGAGAATGGCGTCCACCTCATCCACCACTCGCGCCGGCCAGCCCTGGAGTGAAGTGGGTGGAGTGGAGTGGGTTGTAGTGGTGTGCAGTGAGGTGAATGGGTATAGTGGTGAGCAGCAGCTCTCCATACAGTGGTGAGTGAGCACGGCACAATGCAAGGCAGCTCAGTGGAGAGAATGGCATCCACCCCTCCCTACTTCTCCCTCCATCTTTTCCCACTCCCCTCACCTCCAGGCTGCTGCTTATATCACCAATAGCCCACAATGATCTGCTCTGTTCCACGAGCACGAGGCAGCGCGAGCACAGCTGCAGGGCGGCGGGGTAGTGCCCTGTTTCCCAACCTTTCCTCCTCATCCCACGCTATCCTCTGCAGCTATCCCTCCCCTCACGATTTTTTAGGCGCCTCAAAAATTGAAATTTGAGGCGCCTCAAAAATCGGCCCTGTTTCCCAACCCTTCCTCCTCATCCCACGCTATCCTCTGCAGGCTGCAGCTATCCCTCCCCTCACCTCAAGGCTGCTGCTCATGTCTCCAATGGCCCACAGTGACCGGCTCTGTTCCACGAGCACGAGGCAGCGCGAGCACAGCTGCAGGGCGGCGGGGTAGTGGGCGCCCTCCACCAGCTGCTGCAGACGCGCCTTCATCTGTGCCACCTGCTGCATGTGCTGCAACACGGGAATCATGCTCTGGAGGGGAAAGGGACAGACGGACAGATGGTAGATGCAGCAAGGGACGTTAGGGTCCTTTCTGTGCGTGTGTCAGTCAACAGCTGCAGGGCGGTGGGGTAGTGGGCGCCCTCCACCAGCTGCTGCAGACGCGCCTTCATCTGTGCCACCTGCTGCATGTGCTGCAACACGGGAATCATGCTCTGGGGAGGAGGTAGGGTAGGGGCACGTGAACAGGCACAAATACAGGTGACAATGGGTGCGGTAAACAAGTCTGTCTGTAAGTCAACAGCTGAAGGGTGGCGGGGTAGTGCCCAACCCACCCTCCACCAGCTGCTGCAGGCAGGGGCGCCTTGGTGACTCTGAGTCGACTCAAAAGTCACCACAACACACACTCACAGTGGCTTTCCTTTCAGATGGCCACTCAGAAAGCAGCACTCACAGTGGCCTTGCGTTTCTTCTGCACGTTGTTAGACACAACCAGGTTCTCTCACTATCCCCAACCCACCCCACCCAACCCCAACCCATCCCACCCCACCCCACCCACTCATGCCCTGATGCTTCCCCTCACTGCACACACACACTCACAGTGGCCATGCGTTTCTTCTGCACGTTGTTGGACACCACCAGGTTCTTTGAGATGTCCTTGCGCGCACTGTTCAACAGCCGCCGCGTGTTCTGCCACAGGGGAGAGAGAGAGAACGATGAGGGGAAAGAAAGGACGTGTGGGGAGGAGGGAGGGGTTGTGGGGGATTCACAAAGTCCATATCAGAGGGAATATGTGACTTTTGAGAATATGTCACCTCGACTCAAAAGTCACCTCGATTCACAAAGACCATATCAGAGGGAATATGTGGAGATCGAGATAAGGTGTAGCAGTTGGCTGATCCACAGCTGGCACATACTCTCTCACTCACTCACCCTGCAGATCACATAGAGGACTTGAAGGTCCCGCTCAAGCTCCGCGAAGAGGTTCATGCCTTGCACTGCAGGGGAAGAGGAAAGGGATTGGCAGTGGGGTTGGGGGGTTGGGCTCAAGATTGATCTCAGCCAAAAAAGAAGGGGGTGTATGGTGTAGCCAGCACCCATCTCCCAACACAGCACAGCAGCACCCAGCATAGCCCTCTGCACCGTACAGCTGTAAGTAACCACCAACACTCCAGCGGCACCCAAAAGCAGCGCCTGCAATACCCAGCAGCACCCAGCAGCACCCAGCAGCACCCAGCAGAAGTATGCAACATCTTGCCTGCTGCAGCACCCACCCATTTCCTCGTGGTGACTCATCACTTGCGTCGCCAGCTGTTCCGACACCTCATCCAGCTGCAGCTGCCGCTTGCCACACTGCCAGCCAGATGCCACGTCAGCAACAGATACCACGTCAGCAACAGAGCTATGTTTAAGGAATCACAGCAGAATCATGGCAGGCAGTCAACTTCAGAAAGGCTGATTGTCTGATGAGGCTACGATTGTAGAAGTGCGCACTTGGTTGACCTTTCCGAGGAAAAAGTAGTAAGACAGGCCAAGTTATCACGTTACGCACAATAACCCAAGTTACGCACAATAACCCAAGTTACGCACAATAACCCAAGTTACGCACAATAACCCAAGTTACGCACAATAACCCAAGTTACGCACAATAACCCAAGTTACGCACAATAACCCAAGTTAAGCACAATAACCCAAGTTAAGCACAATAACCCAAGTTAAGCACAATAACCCAAGTTAAGCACCTGTGTTCCAAGGTGTTGCAACGAGAGGGGTTCGTCTGGAAGCTCTTCCAACGCACAGCGGACGGGGTCAAAGTCCTGTAACGCGGATAACAAGGAGAGAGTGAGAAAGTGTGTGTTTTGAGACGTCGCAAGCGCATAAAATACACCAACTCCCACCCAACACGTCCCCCCTTTTCTTCCCCATACACTCACCTCCTCGAAAAAGCTTGCATCTAACGGCTCTGCCTGCTCCGCCTGTACGGGTCGCAGCGACGACATGCCAGCTAGGATCCCCAGTGACGTGTTCATTGATGACGTGGCAGATAAGGGCAGGGACTCGGCCACGTCATCCAGGCCCCCTCCTCCCCCTCCAATCCCACTGCTGCTCGTCCGCGTCACCATAGCCCACAACCCTCCGATCCCCCCCCCTCCCCCGCCCCCAGAGAGCGCAGGAGATACCACCCCCCCTGGTAACGACCTGCGGAGGGGGGAGGCGCCTCCTGCAGAGCTTTGGCGGGGGAGAGGTGCGGGGGAGGCGGAGGGGCCGAGGGAGAAGGGGGAGGTGAAGAAGGAGATGACGTCAGCAGCAGTGGTACGGGGGGAGGGCTGAGACAGACGCGACTGCTGCTGTTGGCTGTGCTGCTGATGCTGGTTGTGATGGTTGTGGTGGTGGTGGGTTTGAGGCGGGGAGGTGAAGAGAGAGAGGACGCTGAAACCTGGGGAGGCAGGGGAGGAGGCGGATTGAGTGCGGACGATAGCAGTGCTGCTAGAACGACCGTCCCCACCACTACCATTACCACCACCACCGCTGCCACTACCACTAATGCCACTGGCAATTGTCCCGAATCCGCCCGTGCTGCTGCTGCTGCTCTGGTTCTCAAACCGAATCTCGTCCAGCGTTATATGAAGCTCTGTTGCTCCGCCTGACGGTCTTCCCCCAAACGCAGCGGAATGGGAAGGGGGAGGCTGGGGACGGATAGGGGGAGACTCGTACGTGGCGGAATGGGAGGAGGGGACGCGAGGGGTGGGGGCGGGAGGTGGACGGCCACGATCAGGCGCGGCTATGGATAAGGACCGTTGGATGTTCTTGAAAAAAGAGGCCCCTCCTCCTGTTCCAGTTCCTAAAAACCCGCCAGGCCCTCCCATGAACCCTCCAGCTCCAAAACTCTTAAAACTACCACCACCGCCACCACCACCACCGATATTAACACCGTCCCTGCTGCTACCACTACCATCCGCACTAGCGTTCCCAATTCCCAGCCCTCCAATTCCCCCAATTCCTCCGATCCCTCCGATTCCGCCTAGATTCAGCCCACCTCCTCCAAAGGTAATCCCGCCCCTGTTGCCGCTCCTGCTGCCGCCGTTGCCGCTGTCGCTGGCACTGGGAGGGCCGCTGGAAGGGCCGTTGGGTCCCCATGGCCGCCTGCGACTGGTGGCCGCTGCTGCAGGCGATGGGGGCTCCTGTGATTACAGCGAATGTGACACAGAGGATCGGATACTTTTGATATAAAGCCATTCTTCGGGCTAGGAATATCTTTTTTACGGCAAAATTGTCCAGATGCAAAGAATGAATCAGGCATTGCTTCAAGTGAGGGTAGGTTCTGACAGGATTTTACAGCATGACTGAATAATTCCGGTGGGGGTCGTGACATACTTGGTCGTAAAATCCTCCTCCTGAGCCGCCTTGCAGACGATTCAGCGGATCGTTGATCAGCTTCTCCGCGAATCGTCGAAACCCGTCCATTCTTCAACAGCTGCCTTTTCCTGAGAGAAGAATGACCAACTGTCTCGAGGATCCAAAAATCGCAGCTCACGTTATTAGCAGCGGAACAGCCGTCTATAGGACCGTGATTTGATTGAATCGGTGACGTTTCGGTAGTCGAATCGAGAACCGACGGTCAGGTCTTGCAAACATGTAACACCCTGGTCTGGAAACTTGCACTTTTCAATGTATCAAAGACTACACGAGGCAGCAGCAATAGCAGCAGCTACCGGTTAAATCCCTTTACTCGAGAGTAAATATCATCTGGAAATTACTTCCTTTAGTCTCCCGTGTTCACATGTCTCGCGTGTCTCGCGGATCAGACGCGGTGTTCCTAGCCTGCAGAGAGATCGACGTCTCGAAAAGTGATCGACGCGCATATGCACAAATTTTAGATGTATCAAGAGATTACACGAGGAAGAAAAACCATTACGGCTCAATCGCGAACCCTTCGGTCCGGCGATCGTCAGAAGGGACTCAGAACCGCCGAATTACCATTTCTAAGTATGAGAAGGACATTGCAGCACCTTGGCAGTTATTACCGTGTGCCTCTGCGGGACCTAATCGAGACGGACCATGGAATTCATCGACTGTAGCTAGACAGGTGGAGGCATAAGACTTCAGTGTGAGGCGAAAGACTTCAGTGTGAGGCGAAAGACTTCAGTGTGAGGTGTGTCGAATGTTTTAGGCTTACGGCAGGTAGATCTAAACAATAATAATTTCAGGTGTAGAAAGTGTGTTGCAATGGACTCAGGACCGGGGTCATCCCACACATTTCGGAGAGAAATCCGTTATTGTGTCATAACTTTCGACACGGAGGGGTCTCCTTGGAGCATATGGCCGGACGTAGGCCCGTAAACTAAGAGTGTGATGGAATCATGTAACCAGATTTTTAAACTGTTCTCATAGAATACCCCGAAATTTTCCACAGCCTTTCGCTTTTACGATGTGGTTCTTGGGGACTGCTGATGGTTGGCTTGATGCAGGGAGAGGAAAGGAAGCGAAGCGACACTTGCACTGGCGATAACTCGCGAGAGCGGTTGAATTCGCTAGCTTCCGTTGCTCTCTTCGCATGGTGTTGTCAGAGGTTTGGATTCGGGTGTAGGAAACTAGCCAATCGGCGAAGAGCCGCACCAGGTTGAAGATCCGACCAACCACAACCACAGAGCCCTTGTGAGAAGCACCTGCGGGATGTTAAAAAAGGATGACGAAAATAGGCGGAATGAGTAAGCGAATTCGTGAGCGAGTCAACGCTTGCATAGAGGACTCACGAGTTCAGGCGGAACGAGTAACACGAAGCAGATTCTTCGCTCGTCTCGTGCATTCCTTGGGCGAGCACGGGAGAACCAAGAGATTTGTGCTGTTTTCATCCAGAGAGCATAACAACTCAATTCACCAGTCACGACTCATACCATCTGATGAATGTACGACTGATCAGAAGATGTTAGGTAGGACACTGAAGCCTGAAGCAATGCCTTATTCTCCTGTAGTCCCCGATACTCCTTCAAGAGCCTGTTTATTGGCTCCAGTGTTCTTGGCTTAGCGCGCTGACTAGAGACTCGCCCGAAAGAGACTCTTACGCCTTAGACGGACATCATCGTGCCAGATGTAGGATTTGCATCATCCCCTGATCAGGTATTTGTCGGGTTCTGCGGAGCTGGTTCTCTTAGCATCCTTAAGTTACTCCATATTTGCATGAACCGATCAGTTATTCCTGGAGTTTTGTGAGGCTGATCCGTTTCGTGTTGCAATGTTGCAGCGAAACGTAGAATTCCTGGGTCCACCCGAGTACACCCGTCGACCACAATATAGAGTTCAGCGAAACTGACTGTAGTGTAACGCAGACGATGTTGACCTGTAACTTAGCCTACTTCTCGACCACAGCCTACACTTATCCTGAACGAAACCATCCTTCGTTAAGCTGCCAGACCGTAAATCGAGCTAGCTGAAGGCCCGGTCGTTGTAGTTTGTTGCGGTAGCAGCGGAACGGCGTGTTTGGCTCTCGGGTTACTTTTCCGACTCTACAGCCTCGACTCTCCATTTTCAAGCCTTGACTGTCGGTTTCATCTTGCTGCTGCCTAAGTGACCGTTGCAAGCGGCGATGGATGCACGCGACAGGCGAAGACTGTGGAAAAAGGTGCTTTCACGAACCAACTCTTCCCGCTCCTGCTGCTTTCACTACCAAATCCCCCTGTTCCTGCTGCTTGCACAACCATTCCCTTTGATTCTAGTCAACCACTCCCTACCCACCTACCCAACCTTGTTAAGACACCATTTTCCTATTTTCCTGCTGTTTTTCCAACCTCCCCTCACTTTGCCCGCATTCGTCAACGGTTACAGCATCCGCGTTGACACTGCTTCTGAAGTTCTCTACAGCATCCGTGTTATAAGCCTTATGCTCAATGTGAATTCTCCTATTGGCGTGTGGGATGCGGGGAGGAGGGGGAATGTGGGGGAATGGGGAAGGGGGAAATGAAAAGGGTGTGTTGGGCGGCTGTGGGTGGGGTGGTGGGGGGTGGTGAGTAGTTGCGGGCAGCGAGGCGGCCAGAGGTGCAGCCGTCCGTGTGGTTTGTGGCGCTCCGGGCGTGCTGCTCGCTGCGCCGAGTCACCTGCCTCTTCCTCCTCTACCTCCTCGTCGTGATACTACTCTGTGAGTCTCTGGTGTGATGTGGGGAGGGAGGGGGTTGGGTGTGGGGGAAAGGGTGACAGGGACTGGTGGCTGCGCCGAGTCACCTGCCTCTTCCTCCTCTACCTCCTCGTCGTGATACTGCTCTGTACGTCGCTGGGGGGGGAGAAGGGGTGGGGGGATACTACTCTGTGAGTCTCTGTCCTAAGTGTCGGCTCACGTGATAAAAGTAATGTTTTGAGACGTCTCAAAACATTACTTTTATCGCGTCGCCCGAGTCACCTGCCTCTTCCTCCTCTACCTCCTCGTTGTGATACTACTCTGTGAGTCTCTGGTACCTTGTGTTAGGGCGTGGTGAAAAGGGCGTGCTGCTCGCTGCGCCGAGTCACCTGCCTCTTCCTCCTCTACCTCCTCGTTGTGATACTACTCTGTGAGTCTCTGGTCTAAGTGTGAGTGAGCCACATGTGTAAGTGAGCCACATGTGTTTGCCTGACAAGTTTAACGAGCTCCCCACAGAGGGCATGTTCCCCACAGAGGGCATGTTCCCCACAGAGGGCATGTTCCCCACAGAGGGCATGTTCCCCACAGAGGGCATGTTCCCCACAGAGGGCATGTTCCCCACAAAGGGCATGTTCCAGGACCACAGAGAGCATTCCCTAGATCCATCGACCCCACCCTACCTCGTCGATGTTGAAATCGCTTTTGAGAGAATTCTGCTAGTTCCCCACAGAGGGCATGTTCTGGGACCACCCCATTCAGCCTCGCAGGCCCCCTCGCGTCGTCCGCTCCTACCTCATCAACGCCTCCTCTGCTGCCTGCAGCTCTTGAGTCGACCCGTTCAGCTGGTTCTCAAATTAATTCCATTCTACTTCTCCTTCCCCTCTATGCTTCCACTCTTTTCCTCGGTAACCCCCTTCCCTCAGATGAAATCGGGGGAGTGGGGCACATGTGTCCGGCTGACCTGTCCTGCGAGTTCCCCACAGAGGGCATGTTCTGGGACCACCCCATCCAGCCCCGCAGGCCCCCTCGCGTCGTCCGCTCCTACCTCGTCAACGCCTCCTCTGCTGCCGCCATCGCTGCCGCCGCTGCTGCAGCCGCAGCTGGTAACGCCAGCGGTGCTGCCGCTGCTGCTGCTGGCAAAGGCAGGATGAAGCACCGCCTTGGGCCAGGAGGAGGAGCAGGAGGGGCAGGAGGTGGGGCAGGAGCAGGAGGGGGTATGGTTGGAGGAGGGATGGGAGCGGGAGCAGGGGCAGGAAGAGGGGGAGGAGGAGCAGGAGGAGCAGGAGGAGCAGCGGTGGCGGGGGCAGGGGGAGCAGCAGGAGGGGCGGAGGAGCAGGTGTTGGTGGTGGAGCAGGAGGAGGAGGAGTATGTAGCAGGGGGGCATTTACTGGTGCAGGACACGGGGGAGGGCCCTGAGAAGCCTGACAGCTGCGTGGAGCTCTGTAGGAACGTGCCCGACTGTGCCTTCTGGATGTACGACATGAGCAGCGTGAAAGGTGAGTGGGGTGCTATACTGTGTGGGTCTGTGCGGCTTTGCTGACTCGGTTGGCTACGTTGACTGCACTTACCGGAACGTGCCGGACTGTGCCTTCTGGATGTACGAGCAGTGTGAAAGGTGAGAAGCAAGGGGACTTGAGGTCAACGAGGTTACGAGGGTATCGTAATGTGAGGACTTGACGCATAAAAGGGTGTGAGATTGCACTGTGAGAACATGCTGTGCCGGACTGTGCCTTCTGGATGCGTGAAAGGTGCGATGCATGCTGTATATAGTTTGTCGGGCTTTTCTGCTGACTCTGTTGACCGCGCTTAGCTGCATATAGTTTGTGCCGAGTTGATTGTGGATCTCGATCGGAATGTGCCGGATTGTGCCTTCTGGATATACGACATGAGCAGCGTGAAAGGTGAGTGAGGTGCTATACCCACTCAGTCCAGTCCTCTCACTTCCTCCCACTGTCTCCCCACTGCCTCCCGATCCACTTCCCCCGTTGCAACTCCTCATCCCCCTGGTTACCGCAAGCTGTGGGCGGCAGTTCAGAACCCATGCGAGCCACTGGAGTGAGTATTGTTAGGACGGGCGGCACACTTTGCGCAGCTATGGCTGGTGCAAAACCAGTATGTGGTGGGGGGGAATACCGGAGGGGGTACTGCCAGGCCCCTCTACCATCCCACCTATATTTTGCCTGCTGTTCCCTCCCGTTCCCCAGGCTACTGCAAGCTGTGGGTGTTGGACCAAAACCCCTGTGAAGCACGCGGATGGGTATTTTTGGGAAGAGCAGCACACTGTGCGCAGCGGTGGCTGGTGCGGAACCAGTATGTGGTGGGGGGTTACTTCTGAAGGGGGTACCGCCAGGCCCCTCTACCAACCCACCCATTTCCTCCCTGCCGCCTCCTCATTCCCCCCAGGCTTCTGCAAGCTGTGGGCGTCGGATCAGAACCCCTGCGAGGCTCGCGGATGGGTGTTGCTCGGAAGAGCAGCGCACTTTGCGCAGCGGTGGCTGGTGCGAAACCAGTGCGTGGTGGGAGGGTACTGCCATGCGCCTTCCAGGCAACCCACCCACTCCCTTCCTCCCATTTCCTCCGACTTGGCACTTTCTCAGAACCACCTCCCCCCACCCACCGCCCCCCTCCCGCTTCCTTAACTCCCAGGCAACTGCAAGTTATGGGCGTCGGATCAAAACCCCTGCGAGGCTCGCGGATGGGTGTTGCTCGGAAGAGCAGCTCACTTCGCGCAGCGGTGGCTGGTGCGAAACCAGTATGTGGTGGGGGGTTATTGTCGCACTGTAGAGACTCTTGAGGAGAAGCGGAGGAAGAGGAATGCCCCGCCGCCGCCCCCGCCGCCACCGGAGGAAGAGGAAGAGGCGAAGAAGCTGGCAGAGGAAGACGTTGCCTGTGAGTGCTCGTGTGCTTGTGCGCACCAACCCCCTGCTTGCTTAGGGATCAGCCCCCCTGTCACCACCGGAGGAGGAAGAGGAAGAGGCGAAGAAGCTGGCAGAGGAAGACGTTGCCTGTGAGTGGTTGGGCACACCCTAATGTCTGCTTGCTTGGAGTAGGAAGGTAAGGCATGAGGAAGCACTCCTGCCCCGCCGCCACCACCGGAGGAGGAGGAAGAGGCGAAGAAGATGGCAGAGGAGAATGGTGCCTGTGAGTTTGCTTGCGTGCACAGACCCACCCTAATGTCTAGGACTGCAAGCCAAGAGGAGTTAGGGTTCCTTTCCCCTCCAGCGTGTGCTGGCAGGTTCGCAACATGGTAACAAGTGGCTACATGTTTGACCACAAGGGCAGGGGCCACCTTTACAGCTTCACCATTTGAAACTCTGCCCCTCCCTCCCGCCCCCACGGGGGCAGGGGCCACTTCAACTTCACCTATACCGAAGTGCGGCCTGCACTCGTGGGGGCGGGAGGTAGGGGCGGGAGGGGCGGGAGGGAGGGAGTGGCGGGAGGGAGGGGCGGGAGGGAGGGACGGGAGGGAGGGGTAGGGGCCACTTCAACTTCACCTATACCGAAGTGGGGCCTGCCCTCGTGGAGGCAGGGCGGAAGCACTAGTGGGGCCCTTCCTCCCTCCCTCCGCCCTTTCAAATTCATACCGTTGCCTCTCTCTCCTACCCCTCCCCATCCCGCATCCTTACCCCTTACCCCTCCCCTCTTCTGGCTTCTCTTCCCTTTCCCTTTTCCCTTCCTCGCTCCACTCTATCTCTCCCTCCCAGTGCAAACCAACGAGTGTCTGAAGCTGACATGCAACACGGTAACGCGTGGCTACATGTTTGACCACGAGGGCAAGCGCCACCTCATCCTCACCTATTTGAGATTGTGCCTCTCCCTCCCGCCCTCACTCACACTCATCGAGTTGTCTCTGTACCCCACTGTTCTCCTCTCTCCCTCACAGTGCAAACCAACGAGTGTCCCAAGCTCACATGCAACACGGTAACGCGTGGCTACATGTTTGACCACGAGGGCAAGCGCCACTTCAACTTCACCTACACTGGGATCGGCCCCGCCCGCCCGCACACGTGTTACCTGCTGTGCCGGAGAACGCCCGGGTGTGCCTTCTGGATGTACAACATGCGATCCAAACGAGGTGCGCGAGGGTGCTATCGCTATGGTGGGATGATTGCAGTGTGTGCTCTTGTGCTTTGATGTGCTGGAGAACGCCCGGGTGTGCCTTCTGGATGTACAACATGCGATCAAAGCGAGGTGGGTGGGCAAAAGGTACAGTTTTTAGCACATGTACGCATGCTTGCTTGCTTGTCTGCTGGGGCGTCTCGAGCAGCAAGGCAACACGCAAGACCCCCGGGTGTGCCTTCTGGATGTACAATATGCGGTCGAAGCGAGATACGTGGGGCAAAAAGTACAGTTTTTAGCGCATGCATGCTTGCTTGCTTGCTTGCTTGTCTGCTGGGGTGTCTCAAGCAGCTAGGTGAGACCCCCGCGTTTGCTTTCTAGGTGGACAACACGCGGTCCAAACGAGGTGGGTGAGGTGAGGGGCTGATGCTGCAGCCTGTGCGTTTGTGTCGTGGGATGGGTACAGCCTATGCGCTTTTGCGGTAAATAACCTTCTGGAGCCTTCTGTGAACTCCCGGGTGAGCCTTCTGGATGTACAACCTGTCTGTCACACACTAATATTTGCAGCAGATGCATGCAAGATGTGGACAAGGGATCAGAACCCGTGTAGCCCACAGACGCCTTTGACTCCACCATTGCACACTACGTGGCCAAGCAATAGCCCTCCCTGCCCTGACCACCCGTTTTCCCCCCAACAGCAGTGTACATTGGCCATACGGCAGCCTTTTCTGCCCTGTCCTGTCCTGTGCCCCTCCCCACTTATCCAAACCCCTCGTGCACACCACTTTCAACTTTTTTCGCAACAGGTGCCTGCAAGATGTGGACGAGGGAGCAGAACCCATGCGAGCCCACAGACGCCTTTGACTCCACCACTGCACATTATGTGGCCAAGAGGCCCACAGGGTCGTTTGTGATTGGTGGGAACTGCGACAAGCTGCCGCCCATGAAAGCTGATCCACAGGCAAGACAGGCACAGATGGCGCAGCAGCAGCAACTGGTGCAGCAATAGGAGGTTGTAAGGATTTCTTCGGCATTCCTTACTGCGTTCTTCAACATCGCGTACAAGCAACAGCCGTTGTTCGCCCGTTACTGCTAACGGGGCTTCGCCAACTTCGCGCGCACTGTTTTACCAAACCATGCACCACTGGCCTGGCCGAGTCGGCCTACGCTTCGGGACTAGCCCGAACCTCGATGCCAGCCTAGCACTAGCTAGCTCGCACGCGCTGTGTTACCGTTTGCATGTTTCGCGTATAAGTACTCGCTGATGCCTTCGCTCATACTTTGTACCGTCATCGCCCGGATATAAGACATATATGTCTTTTCTCGTACACGGGCAAAAATGCTTGAGTTATCTTGTAAACGGGATGGTTTAGGGTGTCTTATAATTCTTATAAATGGAAAAAAATTTAAGTTGACTGTAACACTTGCAAAGTGTGTAGAAAACACCCAGGGACCAGATTCATTGAAACAGGCCGACCTCGGTGGTGATGCAGCAAAGCTGCCACCGCTGGCAAGATTCCTCTGTGCTGGCAGCATCTAATGATGCTGCCAGCGTCGTTTTGCTGCCAGCAGCGCATGGCAGCTTCCAGAACGCTGCTGGCAGCACGTTGGCAGCGTCAGGCTGTCCTCTACGAGGAGATGCCTCGTAGAGGAGCGGCTCGGCACCTGTGGATGGGGCACTCTGGCTGGGGGGGGTAGTCGGGCTTTCACTTCATTTGGTGCTCATGGAGGTTGAATTCTCACCTCAACCTTGCTCTCGGCAGGCTCTCTAACCATGCGCAGCAAGGTACCCCTAGGCAAGTCCTCACCTCGTCCTCACGTGCAGGTGAATAACTACGGGCGAATTAACTCGCCCGGCGATGACATCCGCGTAGCCATGGAGAAGAACGCGAGCAAGGCGGGAAGTCCTACCGCCGCCTCCGGTGCGAGCTGTGACGGGGAAGACGGAGACGAAGCACACGGCGACGACGCCGAGGAGGATTGGCCGGAGAACGGCCACGATGACAGCGCTTCGGGCGACGAATTTGGTACTGCCGACATCGAGGAGGACGAATGGTGGAATCAGCCGGTCGGGAGCGACGACGAGGTGGAAGAGTGGCGGGCTGGTGATTCCGACAACGACGGAGGTGAAGATGCTGGCGGTGACAACGCGGAGGCACAGGAAGCGGCGGTGGATGCGAATGAGGCTGCCGACGAGGCGGCGGCGGAACTCGAGACAGAGGCGCCTGCGGATGCGGACGCGGTGGCGGAGGCGAACAAGGTGGCTGCGGATGCCGTCTTATTTGAGGGTGAGGGCGACGACGACGACCCGTGGAGCCTTGGGACAGACGACGACGTTCCGCTACTGAAGCGGAGGCTGCGCCATCGCCTACAGTCCACGACGAAGCGCGCCCGCGTGGTGCTCTGTGACGACGACAGTCCCGGGGAGGAGCGTCGCCCCCTACTCACCGCTGCGGAGAAGGGAAAGGCAAAGGTCGTGGAAGCCCCTGCTAAGTCCCCTGCTAAGGCCCCTGCAAAGGCCCCTGCTCGTGGCCGCACAAGCAACAAGAAGCGCAAGGACGACGGAGACCCTGGATCCAGCAAGGGTGCGGCAAAGAAAAAGGCGAAGAAGGCGCCAAATCCTGACGACATCATCGTCAACGAGGCGTTGGGCAGCGACGATGAGTACGCGGCGGCGGCGGGCCCGATTCCCACGTTCCCTGAGAAGGAGGCGCCGAAGGACCCCACCCTCCATAATCCCAACACCCGCCCACCTTCCCCTCGCAGCAAAGACACTACGAAGAAGCGCCGCGGCTGGACCGTGCGTGAGAAGGTTAAGTGGGCGCGCCGCTATCAGGAGCTCGGCTCCTTGAAGAAGACTAGCTTGGAGTCAACCGCGAGCGTCGCCTGCATCAGACGTTGGTGCGCGGAGGCGGCTGCGGGCATCTACAAGGGCGCGGCTAACTGCCGCAAGCGGATGCACGGGGGGGGCCGCCACGCACACTACCCCGACATGGAGGCAGCGTTGTACCGCTACATCTGCCTTCAGCGCGCTAACGGGGTGGCCATCTCGGTGAAGGACACCCAAAAGTGGAGCCGCGAGTGGATGAAGAAGCATTACCCCGGCAAGAACTGGAACGCGAGCTCTCACTGGAGCCAGCGTTTCCGTGACCGCTGGAACCTGGTGATGCGGGTGAAGACGAAGGTCGGACAACGTCTGTCGGCAGGTGCGTGGATAAGGAGTTCGTGCCCCGCACGGCCCATTGTATGCATGTCTTACCTTGCTCGTTGTCTAACCGTCCCTCGCTTCTGTTCCTGTCCCGTTTGCAGAGTGCGCGAAGGACTGCGAGTCCTTCTGGAAGTTCGTGCGCATCAACAGGGCGCGGCACAACATCGACCTGGCCCGTATTATCAACGCGGACCAGACGCCACTGTTCGTGGAGATGCCGGCCGAGAGGACGATCGAGCACCGTGGCGCGCGCTCGGTCCCAATCCGCACTGCAGGCTACCAGAAGACGCGCTTGATGGTGATGCTCGCGTGCACTGCATCCGGGGAGAAGCTGCGGCCGTGGGTGTGGTTCAAGATGAAGAACGTCCCCAACTGTGAGATTCCGGACGGTAAGCGCCATGACTTCAACCTTGCCCCTGCCTCATGAGCGTGCCCCACTGTGCTGATGTCCGTCTGTCCCTTGTGTGCCTGGCAGGAATCGTGGTCCAAGCACAGGACAACGGGTGGATGGACGAGAGCGCTGTGCAGACCTGGCTGTCCAAGGAGGTGCTTCCCCATCTGAACCCCCAGCGCGGCAAGAGCGCGAGGCGTGCGATGCTGGTGTTGGACTCCTACCGCGGCCACATCACCCAGACCATGCTTCAGTCATACCGCACGCACACCATCACCCCTGCAGTCATTCCAGCGGGTTGTACGAGCCAGATTCAACCCCTGGACGTCTCCATCAACCGGTGCTTCAAGGCTGCCGTGCGAGCGCGCTACGCCAGGTGGTTCATGCGTGAAGGGATTCACCTGAAGACGAAGAAGGGTGAGTTGGCTGTTCATTTTAAATTCCTGCTCTGTTTCGTGTCCTTATCGTTAACATCTCGCTGCCGTGTCCTCTGTCCCACCCGCAGGGAACCTGCGGAGGCCTCCGCACCCCGTGGTGCTGCAGTGGATCGCGGAGGCTTGGGATCAAGTCCCCAGGCAGATCATCATCGACGCGTTCCGCCACTGTGGGATCTCCAGCAAGCTGGACGGAACGGAGAACCACCTGGTGATGTCTCACCTGCGCGCCAGGAGCACCACCGATGTCTCCGAGGACATGTCCCTCGGGGGGACCACAGGCGACAACACGCGCCTGCTTCGGAAGGCTCCAGAGGAGGAGGAGGAGGAGGAGGAGGAGGAGGAGGAGGAGGAGGAGGAGGAGGAGGAGGAGGAGGAGGAGGAGGAGGAGGAGGAGGCGATGCAGGCGGAGGGCGTGCGGGAGGTGGCCGTGGCAACTGGCCTGGAGGTGCTGTACCAGGAGACCCCCAACTACCGCAGAGCGGCGGCCGAGGCTGACCGCATGATCGAGCCAAGGGAGACGGCTAGGCATGCCTGGCGAGTGCCAGACCTGGGCGTAGAGCCTGTTGCTAGTGCTGCAGAGGAGGCGGTTACTGAGGGGGGTTAGGTAGAAGTAGGGATTCATGAATGTATGGATGTACCCCCCTAAAGTAGTGTAGGCTCGTTTAGAAGACACCCCCTGTTTATAAGAAAACCCCTAAACCCCCTGCATATATGTCTTATCTCGTACACACAAATAGGTGTCGTATAAAAAGGCTTGCCTGTTTATAAGAGACACCCGTATAGTAGACAACCCCTGTCTACTATTCAACACTGTCTTATATCCGGGCGATGACGGTACTCGTTTGACACCTAGTGCAGTCCTTGCTATCTCGTTCCCTTGCACCCGTAACACTTGGTATTCAGAGCCACTTTCTTTTGGACTGCGCGTCTCCGCACCCAGGAAAATCAACTTTTTATTTTTTGCACTCGAAGGGACTCACGCCCCTTAGCGCCTAGGAATCGATGTCCTCGCATTCTCTCGTAAACTCGTGCAGCCACGACTGCGCCTAGAGCTAAGTCGAGCCACCGTCCTTCGAAATGGCCGACCACGTTGATGCCACGACACTCACGCAGGAGCACCTAAACGAAATGCCAGCTGCACGAAAGTTCTAAAGAAATCGCGGCGCTGACGGCAGATCGTACGTCACTGCAAAACGATGTTGCACGGGCGCAACAAGCACAGTCACAAACACAAGGCACGCAAGGACAAGGAGCACATCAGACATCACAATACGGAAGTGTGGGGCAACCCTCAAGCGCGGCTAGTGATGGCATCGCCCGCAATGACGGAGACGACGACCACGGCACGACACACCTCGGAGCGACGAGTTTGGCCAGAAGCCAACCACGCGTCACGATTTCGGTGCCGATCGGCGAATCAGCACTGCCGTCACCGATGCCGCTCAAGCCGTAGCGTCTGCCTTGCTTCGATCCAAGCCAACGGGGTGGTCCGACCGTTCAGGCATAGTTGTTCACGATGAACGTTTTCTTCGACGCCAACTACGTCTCGGAGGACTCGGCGAAGATTCGATACGCCGTGTCGCTACTACGAGTGTCAGAATTATATTATAACTGCATGTAGTTCTAGCCTTAGTGTAGTCATCCTAACTTCCTGCTTGGTGGTGTACTCACCTTTCCTACCCTATTTGTACTCCACTTTCTATAGTGAAATCATTCTCTCCTTCTCGACTTGTTCCCTCGACATTCATGCTAGCACCTAGAACCCAAGCCATGGTTCATAAGTTCAACTAGCTATTTCGACATGCTATCAGAGTAGGTCGTTCCTAGGACCTAACATTCATGGGCCCACCACCTACTGCCCTGCTAGCCTAGGCCCCGCCCTGTCGCCCCTAGGCCCCGTCGCCCCTAGGCCCCGTCGCTCACGGCCCCTCGGCCCCGTCGCTCACGTGGCCCGTCGGCCCCTAGCCCCGCGCCCGGCCCCGTTCCTAGCCCGCGCCCGGCCCCGTCGGCCCTTAGCCCCGCGCCCGGCCCCGTACCTAGCCCGCGACCGGCCCGTACCTAGCCCGCGCCCGGCCCCGTCTCTAGCCTGCGCCTGGCCCCGTACCTAGCCCGCGCCCGGCCCGAATCTCGCCCAGCGCCCGGCCCGTACCTAGCCCGCGCCCGGCCCGTACCTAGCCCGCGACCGGCCCGTACCTAGCCCGCGCCCGGCCCGTATCACGCCCGCGCCTGGCCCCGTACCTAGCCCGCGCCCGGCCCGTACCTGGTCCGCGCCCGGCCCGTACCAAGCCCGCGCCTGGCCCCGTCTCTCGCCCAGCGTCCAGCCCCGTCTCTCGCCCGCGCCCGGCCCGTACCTAGCCCGCGCCTGGCCCCGTCCCTTGCCCAGCGCCCGGCCCCGTCTTTCGCCCGCGCCCGGCCCCGTATCTAGCCCGCGCCTGGCCCGTACCTAGCCCGCGCCCGGCCCGTACCTAGCCCGCGCCCGGCCCCGTCCCTCGCCCAGCGCCCGGCCCCGTACCTAGCCCGCGCCCGGCCCCGTCCCTAGCCCAGCGCCCGGCCCCGTACCTAGCCCAACGCCCGGCCCGGTCCCTAGCCGCGCCTGGCCCCGTACCAAGCCTGCGCCCGGCCCCGTACCTCGCCCGCGCCCGGCCCCATACCTAGGCCCCGTCGCCCCTAGCCGCGGCCCTCGTCGACCCGTCGCCCCGTCGCCCCTAGCTATGGCCCCTCGTGACCTACCGCCCCTAACCGCAGCCCCGTCGCCTCTAGCCTCGGCCCCTCGCGACCTGTCGCCCCTAGCCGCGGCCCCGGTGACCTGTCGCATCATGGTGGGTAAGGGGGTGGCAAGAGGGGGTTCTTCCTGCCCGCGTGCCCTGCAGTCGCACGCGCAGCTCCGCCCCCGCCCCCCTCCTACCCCTCCCCCCCCTCCATGGGGACAGGGGGGAGAGGGTGTGAGGGGGTGGCGGATGTGCCTCAGCAGCAGCAGCTGCCACCACGCCTCCTCCTCTCTCTCTCCCTGCCGCACCTTGTGTTGGGAGGGGGGGGGGAGCTTGGAGGTCCAGGGGGAGGCAGGAGGGGATCTGCAGCACCAGCCCCCCCCGCCCCCCCTTTCTCCTCCATCCCCCTGCTGCGGATGCGGCAGTGGGGGGGAGGGGATCCGCAGCACCAGCCCCCCCCGCCCCCCCTTCTCCTCCCTCCCCCTGCTGCACAGCACCAGCCCCCCCCCCCGCCCCCCCTTCTCCTCCATCCCCCTGCTGCAGGTGCAGCAGTGGGGGGAGGGTATGGGGGTGGCGGGTGTGGGTGACCTGCTGCCGCCTCTCCTCCTCTCTCTCCCTGCCGCACCTTGTGTTGGGAAGGGGGGGGGAGCTTGGAGGTTCAGGGGGAGGCAGGAGGGGATCTGCAGCACCAGCCCCCCCCGCCCCCCCCCCCCCTTCTCCTACCTCCCCCTACTGCGGGTGCAGCAGTGGGGGGAGGGGATCTGCAGCACCCGCCCCCCCCCCCCCTTTCTCCTCCATCACTCTGCTGCGGGTGCAGCAGTGGGGGGGAGGGGATCTGCAGCACCAGCCCCCCCTGCCCCCCCCCCCCCTTCTCCTCCATCCCCCTGCTGCAGGTGCAGCAGTTGGGGGAGGGTATGGGGGTGGAGGGTGTGGGTGACCTGCTGCCGCCTCTCCTCCTCTCTCTCCCACTGCTGCACATGTTGCTGTGTGGGGGGGGGGGGGAGCGAGGTGTAGGGGGGATGAGAGCGGTTAAGGGGGACGACAGAGTGTGGCGGACGAAGCAGCCCCCATCTGCAACTGCCATCCTCTGCTCCCGTGGTACCTCCAGCTGCAGCCCCGGTCGCCACTTTGCTTGTCTTGCCTTTCTGTTGCTGTTGTGCGGCAGGTGCTGCCGTTGACCCAGCTGTGCCGCCACCGCTTGTGCCGCACGCTCCTGCTCTCCAGGCAGGGAGGGTATGGGGGTGGAGGGTGTGGGTGACCTGCTGCCGCCTCTCCTCCTCTTGCTGTGTGGGGGGGGGGGGGGAGCGAGGTGTAGGGGGGATGAGAGCGGTTAAGGGGGACGACAGAGTGTGGCGGACGAAGCAGCCCCCCCCCTCATCTGCAACTGCCATCCTCTGCTCCCGTGGTACCTCCAGCTGCAGCCCCGGTCGCCACTTTGCTTGTCTTGCCTTTCTGTTGCTGTTGTGTGGCAGTTGCTGCCGTTGAGCCCAGCTGTGCCGCCACCGCTTGTGCCGCACGCTCCTGCTCTCCAGGCAGCCTACCGCCACATGCACCTACTACTGCTGTGCCGCCGCCCTTGCCGCCGCGCTCCTGTTTCTGCTGCTTCTACCTTGGCTGCTGGGTTGCTGCAACTGTATCTGCCACTATTGCACTGGTTGTCACTGCTCTTGCGTGCTGCTGCTTTGTTCTGCTTGGTGTACCCCTGCAGGTTGTGTCTAGCACTTGGCTCTTCCTACATGCAGTTAAGGGGGGATGTCAGAATTATATTATAACTGCATGTAGTTCTAGCCTTAGTGTAGTCATCCTAACTTCCTGCTTGGTGGTGTACTCACCTTTCCTACCCTATTTGTACTCCACTTTCTATAGTGAAATCATTCTCTCCTTCTCGACTTTTTCCCTCGACATTCATGCTAGCAACTAGAACCCAAGCCATGGTTCCTAAGTTCAACTAGCTATTTCGACAGCGAGGACTCACCATGGATTGGTGGTGCGTCATCGTCACGAAGCCGGTGAACTACGAGACTCTACTGACACGGGAAGGACAAACCGGACCCTGGGGGTCGTCGTATTTCGTAGAAATACCCCAGTATCGCACGTGGGACGCGTGGTGCGCACGTCTGCGCGCGAGGTTCGAGCCAATTGCGGCTTCGATCGCAGCGCATCAGAAGCTCTTCACTTGGAGCCAGCTTGGTTCCGTCCAGGACTACACCAACGGGTTTCTCGCGTTGTGCGAGAAGGTGGGCTACATACATGAGGGAGAGTGTATCGACCGCTACATCGGCGGCCTGAAGCACAAAATCGCTCAAGAGATTCAGCTGCGCAACGTCACCGAATTCAATCAGATTCTCGCTATGGCGGAGAAGCTCGACTTCTTACGCTGACCGAGATCAGGGTCCTACGGCAACAACAGTAGCTAGGGACATCGGACTCGAAGACCGAACGAGCACGCCATGATACGTGCTGTCGCCGCGAATGCCGCTACTGCACCGTTCAAAGGGCGCTGCTTCGTGGGCAACAGGTCGGGGCACCGTAAGAGCGAATGCCCGGAAAGCGCTAAGGGAAAGGGGGAAGCTGAGCAGCAGAAACAGACCAAGCAGCAGGGAAACGATGGGAGTCAGTAGCAGACATGCCCTCTACTGACAGGTCACGCCGCTCGCCCGACCCAACCGACCCTCACCGAGTGATTATGTCGGTTCACACAATCGACCACACCCAGCCGAATAAGGAGTGTACAACGGTAGACAGCCCCATACAGCTTAGCGGGAAAATACAGACAGAATTAGTTAAAATCTTTGTAGACGGGGGGGCTAGTGACAGCCTGATTAACACTGCCACAGCACGGAGACTGAAACTCCCACTGGACAGATGTTTACCTAAGATTGATGCACGATTGGTC